GCCCGTGTGTGTAGTGATGTCATAGATTTTAACGAACGTAATCAATGCATCACTGGTAAATTATTAAGTCAGGGATTTCGTTACCATAAATTGCTTAAAACTTTTACTAAATTATTTCATAGATACATAGATTTGATTAGTAAATTTGGCTGTACCTGTAGAAAACTTATTAAAAAATATCACGGTAATTTTGTACTAAAAGCGCGGAAATCACTATGTGATCCGTGTAAACTCATCGAACCTTTAAACAAACTTATTAGTAAAGGTTATCTTACCAATGTTGTAATTAGATCTTTGAATGTAGTTTACATTGGCACAAATATCGATTTTGTCATCAGCAAATTAATACATGACTAAATTTGTATTCTTTTCAAACGGTTTTTTGGGATGTATAAATACACATCCACGTTCATCTTCTATATAGAGATTACTCTATCTATATATTACATTATTTATATAATAGTTATTGAAGAACTGGTCATTATCGTGATATTTGGACTGCCCACAGGACAGTGGTATTGACTAAGACAGCGATAATGACCGAGCCGTTTATTTCATTGAGGAACCATGTTTTTAAAAATTCTCATAAATTCAAATTGTTCAAAGCAAACTCGAGTTATTGTACGGTTTCTATAGGAAAGAGTGAAGACCAATCATAGTGATAACTATAAGTCACTGCCATTCATTTAAGTGCAATTTTTCAGTATTTGAATACTAAATAAAGTTTTCTATAATTTTATAATTCTTGTTGCTGAGTAGTTTGACTCTTCCAGCATCGGAAAGTACGGCAAAACGATCATTTGAGTTGTCTGTAGCAGACGTGCATTCCAGTTCAGCCATGTTCCAAACGTCTGAATCGCGATTGTGTTTTATTAAAGGGACATCACTCTAAACAGAGAAACCACGCCCCACTGGTCATTAACATGTAAAAGTCCGTTAACGACTGGTTTTTTGGTTCATTTTTTCTGTTAAAGACTGATGGAATTTTTTACTAAAGAAAAAAGAATGTCATGTGGCCCCTTGTTATCCAATAAGAGAAGCTTATTCTTAACCGATATGAAATAAACATATTTATTAACAGGTTAACTCCGAACTATCCCACTGCCTGTCGCTGCTTTTATTTTTGCATTGCACAAGTCATGTCTTCTTTGACTGTCCAGGACGTTAAAACACTAAATCCCTGGGATATGTCTTAGTTGATTTTAGTCTCTGATGCATGATTTTTTATTATTAATTGTTTTTGGCTTTTAACGAGCTTTCAGTAACTGCAAGTACTCTCAATTCGTAGTTTCGTGTTAATTTGACCTGTTGATACAAAGTGTTCAGTATGACGATAAATTTTCACTTTTGTTCTCGTACTAGAAACAACAAAATTATTTATTTTGTCAAAATTATTTCCGTACTCCATGTATACCTTTCAACAAAATTATTTTTATTTACCTGTGTACGTTATTTTTTTGGCGGCATTTTGTCCAAAGTTATGGTTGTCTTTTTGATATTGTTTTATATCTAACCCCCTTGTTTTATTATACCCCACGCAACGAGTTGCGAAGGGTATAATGTTTTTGACCCGTCCGTCTGTCCGTCTGTCCGTCCGTCAGTCCGTCAGTCCGTCAGTCCGTCAGTCCTATTTCTTGTCATCGCAACTCCTCTCAAACCACACAACAGAATTTCACGAAACCTTTTTAGATAATAAGGACATACTATGTAGTTGTGCATATCGACAGGAAATTACGATTCAATTTTTTTTCCAGGAGTTACGCCCCTTTGAACTTATTTGCCAAATATACTACTGCAACCTTTTGTCATCGCACCTCCTCTCAAACCACACAACAGAATTTCATGAAACCTTTTCAGATAATAAGGACATACTACGTAGATGTGCATATCGACAGGAAATTAAGATTCAATTTTTTTCCAGGAGTTACGCCCCTTTGAACTTATTTGCTTTAATGTACTACTGCAACAGTTTGTCATCGCAACTCCTCTGAAACCACACAACAGAATTTCATGAAACCTTTTTAGATAATAAGGACATACTATGTAGATGTGCATATCAACAGGAAATTAAGATTTTCTTAGTGTTACGCCCTTTTGAACTTATTTGCTTTAATGTACTACTGCAACAGTTTGTCATTGCAATTCTTCTGAAACCACACAACAGAATTTCATGATACTTTGTAGATAATAAGGACATACTACGTAGATGTGCATATCGACAGGAAATTATGATTCAATTTTTTTTCTAGGAGCTACGCCCCTTTGAACTTATTTGCTTCAATGTACTTTTGCAACAGTTTGTCATTACAACTCCTCTGAAACCACACAACATAATTTCCTGAAACTTTGTAGATAATAAGGACATACTATGTAGATTTGCATATTGACAGGAAATTATGATTCAATTTTTTTTTCTTACACTTATTTTATTTCTCCAATGACAATGTGGGGACGTGGGGAATGTGAGTGCGCTCACTAAGGTTCTTTAATTAATTTTATATTTACATTGTGTCATAGATCAAATTTATTCGTTCAGTGTATGTTCACTTTATTTGTTAATATGTCTTTGATTGAGTTAAGCCATTTCAATTGATATTTTATAGCGTGTCTTTCTATGTTGTGATGTTACACTATTGTTTCAGGAAGGGTGAAGGTTGGCGCCTAAACGTTTAAACCCGATGCATTTGTTTTCACCTGTTCTAAGTCAGGAACCTGATGTTCAATGGTTGTCGTTTGTTGATGTGGTTCATAAGTGTTCTCGTTTCTCGTTTTTTATATAGATTAGACCGTTGGTTTTCTACACTAGTTATTTTGGGGGCACTTTATAGCTTGCTGTTCGGTGTGAGCCAAGGCTCCGTGTTGAAGGCCGTACTTTGACCTATAATGGTTTACATTTACAAATTGTGACTTTGATGGAGAGTTGTCTCATTGGCACTCATACCACATCTTCTTATATCTACCTAAGTATTACTATGTTCCTCTTAATAAGCGACAACAGTAGCTAACCGGACAAACTGAAAATCGATTTTGAATATACATATTCTAAATAAATAAATTAACGGAATCGCATCAACTCAAACGCAGGGAGACAGGTGCTTTGACCGGGTTAGCGTCTTCTGCTTTTCTGCTACATTCTTGCATGCATCATCCGGCAAGCGAATCCAGCCCCAATCAAAGTCACAATAGAGAATATTATCACACAAACGGTAAATTAACAGATCAGATGACTTTTCTAGTATCTTAAGATCTAAGACTGCAAAAACATGTTTGTCATGAGTTTTCATGCAGACACATCGTTTCGATCAACCAATTTGTGCTGGCTACCTTAACACTTGCTTAAGTCGATTTCAGTTGTCCCTTCTGGTTCAGTTTTTTTTCTTCTTCAGTTTAGTGCATGTCCCTGTTAATGGGATCCGTTTAATGTGAAAATGCACGACCGTTACATATCATTTGAGATATGAAATCGTCTTACGACGGGACTGAGGGTATCTATTGGAAAATAAAGAGAATTTAAGAATAAGAAAACTGAAATCGTCACATTAATACTACTTTAAAGTTGTCTTTCTGTGTCAATTTCAAGAACACTACCTATAAAGTAGACTTTTGAGGTTTCGTTATAGCGTATGGCCAGGTTCACTAAGACGAATGATATTCAATCACTCAATAGTATGTTGGATAATAAGTGACAGGACATAATGAATTTATATAAGCGTTTAATGAAAGAACCCGGCAAGATGCTTTTTCTTTTGTCAATGAGATGGTTTTGCATTATTTCCATTTCATACAAATACAAAATCGAGAACGAGCTATACATAGTAGCTTTTAGATGCATATTAGCTCCTTTGGGCCCTCTACTTTTCAATTATCTTAATCTTAAATAACATGCTAACATTCGTGTATTGGACAATTCCTCAGTTAAATATATGATTTTTTTCAACAATGAATAGTTGTTTCATTGGCAATCTCCTTATTTTTATATTCTTCAAATTTCTCGAAAATCAGAACAATTCTCCTAAGCGATACTGACGTGAAGACGAATATAGCACTGCTTTAAGTCTAAATTTCAGTTTTTCATATATACATAGATTTGTGAGTGTGATAAATGTTTTGATTTGTTCAGTAACATTCGCAAAACACACATTTCTTTGACTGTCATATCTATAGTTCTGTATAGTTTAGATCCACACCATTCATCGCCATTTCAAAACATGTGTTTTTCAGTTGTCTTGGTGAATATTTCAGGCTTAGAAAACCAACGACTGATCAACACGAACCCCAACGAAAACCGGGAGTTAGTAGATCCTCTTTGTTGTTTTTCTATAAAATACGTTGAAATATTTTTTGATTAGGCATCAATCAATAGTGGATTGCCAATTGACTCTAATCTAACACTAACACATCACAAAATTCGTAAAACATTGGTCGGTCACGACAATTTTCCAACCAATGAACTTGACCGAAAGGGAAATTTCGATATTTAACACAATTTTTCATGACATAGGATAGACAAGACCATGATCAGTAGAAACAACACAGACATTGAAAAAATAAAACAGCACAAAGTAAAACACTGAAAACTTAAGCAACACGAACACGTCTTAGACAAAACTAAGAGCAATTTTAGGTACTCCAGAAGGGTAAAAAGATCCTATTCCACATGTGGCATCCGTTATGTTAACCGATGGAAATAAAATCTTTCTGTGTCCTCATTGTTGTATATGATACAATATATAATTTTGCAATACAATACCGTTCTTTAACAAAAGAAATGTTAAAAGTGACAGGTCGATTTTTAAAAAGGCAAGTTGTGTGCCAAAAAAATACAAGGACTGTAAGAAGTTATAAAATAAAATATTAAACTGATGGAACATTTTATGTTCATGTGAAGGTATCAATTTAAATGTTCAAGCATACAATAGCAAACTTTGGTTCGTTTATGATTTTTTTTTTTTTTTTTTAATTTGTAATTTGGAGTTATCATACCGTTAGAAATAACCGTATAATAAAAGTGATCTCGTTTAATGTTTAAAGAACGATAATTCATTTTCAACTATTGAAGGAAAAATAAAATAAGTTTGGTCTGCACAAAAATTGATTTCATTGTTTCTGATCTAAGAATGATATAATGAGGGCTAAGTAAAAACTAATATGTGTTAGATTTTATGCTTTGAAAACTGATATTGAAATGAAATTTATATGTAAAAGATATAAACCATGTTTTAAACACTGATTTCAACTTAACACTTTATTTGCATACGAAATCCTTTGGTGAGAGCACATCCCATGACTTGCCGGCAACTGGCGGTGGTCCACTGCAAACGGAAAGCCCTGTATCCTGAATCAAATTTGGATGATCATTCATCATTTGTCGGAGCCATCTTATATGACAGTCACAAATCCAAGGGTTAAAGTCTAAATAAATTACAGAAAGGTTTGGGTTGTATTTCAAATCAAATACTCCCTCTTCAAGTGTTGTTAAATTGTTCGAACTGAACCAGAGTTCCTGGATATCCGTCATTCCATGAAACGTTCCAACTTCAATTTTTGTTACTTGATTTGAATCAAAGAAAAGTTGTTTTAAAGCAGTGAGTCCATTAAAAGTGAGATTTGTTAAAACCGACGAGACGTGGTCTTCCATAAAATCTAAAATTGTTAGCTTATTAAGTCCATAAAATGCGTTGTCCTCGATTGTTGTAATAGCGCCTTTCCATACTTCTATAGTTTGTAGGTTTGTCAATGTTCGCAGCGCATATGATGGAATTACTGTTATCTGATTGCCCACCACATCAAAATGCTGTAAAGTTCTAGGGAAGTATGTTGTATTTGGGAAAGTCTTCAGAGCATTAAATCTGAATTCTAAATTCAATAACTTCTGATTCTTTACAAAAGCTAATGGAGAAAAACTACCATCTACAAGTTTGTTAAAACTGATATCAATTTCAGAAGCATTTACCAACGGATCAAAGGCATGGTCTTCAATTGATTTGAGTTGGTTGTATCTTAGTTCGAGGTATTCAATTGAAGATGCATTCACAAAACTATTGGCTGTTAAAGTTGTTATTGGATTATCAAAAAAATACAGTGTAGTAAAATTTGGGGGTAAACCTTGTGGTATTGTCATATATGATCCACCTGAGAGATCCAAAGTTTGAATGCTTGGTATGTTAAGGGCGCCATTGAGAAAACTGGTTTCTTTAAACTGGTTACCACTCAAATCTAGATTCTGTAGTTGTTTAAGACCCGTGAATGTATCTTTTGGTATGGAATTGATGTTGTTATATCCAAGGTTTAAGGTCAATGTATTTTGGGGTAAATCTTTTGGAACCTCTGATATCCCAGTTCCATTACAGAAAACTATAGTATTGTCAGCACGGCAATCACATGGAGAAGGACAGTCGTCTGCTATAATAAACGTCAACCTCAGTAATGATATCAACACGCATGTAAATGCAGAGTGCACCATGGTCATTTTGGTCCTTAACTGAAAATTTGGAAATTTGGAATTGTGTATTTTAAGTAACAATGACGTTGACTGACCTATGGTAATCTGTAAATCAGTATGATATCGATAAGAATACTTATCTATATATATATATATACATGAAGAAAAAGGAACATTTTTTCAAAATATATATTTGGCAAACAAAACAAAATACCTTTGCTTAAATTAATAAATTATCATAGAGAGGCGAAAGATACCAAATGGCCATTCAAAATCAGTTTGATCAAAACTGCGATTTGAAACTATTTATACTGTTTATCCATATCCGATTTGAACCAATTAAAATATTTTGCTTACCTTAGACACTTGACTTATTTATGAAGAAAAAAGTAAAATAACAAAAATACCGAACTCCGAGGACTCTGACTTATTTATGAAGAAGACAAATGCCTGTATATTGAGACAATAATGATACCGATTGCCCTAAAGTCACATTATTTACCTTACAACCTTACAACAGATAGATAAATACTAACAATTCTTCAAGGTTAATACATGTTCATCTTACCACGTCTAGTATTTAAAGTGATTCAACCTTCACAAATATAGATAAAATGTCATCAACACACAAGCATTCCCACAGTTTTATATTTACATTTATCATAAATATAACTATACCCCCTCTTCACAACTAACGTTCTGAATTTTGATAGAAAGGTTCATGTCAGTATGCTATACTCTATGATGCCTTTTTACATTGTTTTATTGATTCACACTTTTCTTGGGCAGCTTTGGTATGTAAAGGACCAAACGTATCCTGTGTCGTCTATCTTACCTTATTTCGACCCTGAATAAGCCACTTACCACTTGATCATGAGTGTGTGATAGTATGACTGGTATTCCGTTTAATGCAGGATATGCTTACTCTTTCGACGTTCCGGTTCTTACTGAGTTTTATCGTCATGCGATATCTGTTATTTTAAGTCCTATATTTGTTGTTTTTGTATATTTATACTTCATCTGTATTCAGTATTTGTACGTATGTTCTTGTCACGAATAATCATGAAATGTTTGTCATGCGATATTCAGAAGACAGTAGTTAATCCTTTTCCAGGTTCTATTTAAAAGAAATTCTAGCATAACTTATAATTATACGAAACAGTAGGCACAACTTTGTAGGATTTGATATCTTCAAAACAACGTATTTGATTGCATTTATGTTAAAAAAAATGCAATAAATACACGTATTGCTCTTACTACTTTTATTAATGTGTGATACATTTGAAAAGGTTACCTTTCATGCTTAACAATATTGACATGAAATTGATAGTCAATTTTAATATTACCTGTAGGCATACTGGTTTTGTCTGAATAACAAAATTAATTTATGTAACTCCTTATTTAAGTACATTAAGTGCCAATCTGCATTAGAATCAGGCAATGGTGAAAACTTGACAAACTAAAACCCACTCAAGTTGACATCAATTTATGTTCAAAATGTATAATGGTGCACGAATATAACACTCTTTTCCTTTTCCTGTTCTGGTAATTTAAGATATAATTTGGTTGAAACGCACGAGAAATTTACAATTAAGTGGAGCTAACTGCGTAATTAGCTATCATTCTAACTAAAAGATATCTTGAGATTTCTCGAATTACCAGACACGCAAAACGAAAGACCTACCATTTCTAACTCAGGATGAGGGTAACTCCAAAATAGGATGGTTAGGTTAGTGGGTTTTTTCGGCCATGTTTTGATTTTTTTTTCAAAATTACCTGATTCTTACAAAGACTGGCACTCAAAATCAATAAAAAAAAACCAATTTATATTTTTCCTGACTCTAAATCGCTCAAACTGTTTAAGTGTTAATTTTGTGATCAGCACAAACGAAGTCGTTTGGTTGTAAGCTATCCCAAGCTTTTCCAGCCACTTTTGGTGGTCCACTACACACTATAAGATGTGGATCCTGAATTACATTAGGTTCATCGTCCATTTTCTGTCGTAACCATCTAAGATGACAGTCACATATCCAAGGATTGTCGTCGATGAAAAGGGCAAATAACTGTGGAACAAAAGTTTTGTTAAGAACTTCTGGTACAAGTGATGTTAGTTTGTTGGAACTCAACCACAACTGTTGAATGCTTCTGGTAGATTGAAACGCTCCAGGTTCTATTTTACTTATATTATTCAAATCCAGGAATACATTCTGTAAACCAGTAAGACCATTAAATGTTAAATTTGTAATAGACGAAACATGGTCTTCCATCATGTCTAAGTATGATAGTTTATTCAAACCATAAAATGCATTATTTTCGATGTCGTTTATCGCCCCTTGCCAGAAAGCCATTGAAGTTATGTTTGTGAGGGTTCGGAAAGCATAAGCTGGAATAACTTTTATCTTATTGCCAACGAAATCCAAACTTTGAAGCGAAACTGGAAAATGAGAAGTGTCAGGAATTGTCTTCAAATTGTTGAATCTGAATCCCAAATTTATCAACTTCTGATTCTTTACAAAAGTCATTGGACCGAAACTTCCATCGACTAATTTGTTGAATGCAAGATCGATTTCAACAGCATTCACAAGCGGATCAAATGCATGATCTTCAATTTTGTTAAGTTGCGTGTTATCTAAGTACAGAAATTGAATAGTAGAATGATTTACAAAACTTGTTGCTTTCAACGTTGTTATTGGGTTGTAATAAAAGTATATTCTGATCAAGTTAGGCGGCAGTTCCTTTGGTATTGTTATAAAGGAATTATGCGTCAAATCTAACACACGAAGACTCGGTATATCCAAGGCTCCCTTTTCAATGCTACTTTCTTTAAAATTATTTCCTGAGAAATCTAGCCAAGCTAATTTAGTGAGGCCAACGAATGCAGTTTTTGCAACAAATTCTATCGGATTATTTCCAATATATAGAGTCTCAGTGTTTTTAGGTAAATCACTTGGAACATTTGTAATACCGGTCATATTGCAGTATACAGTTGTGTAGATACATTTACAAGGTGATGGACAGTTTTGTAACAATACAAAGTCGGGCACTAATATGAAAACAATGACAAGTAAGGAACCAGGTAACATCATCATTATTTATATCTGGAATGGAAAACATGTCCAGATTATATATTACAAATTCAAATATTTAACTTATTACAATGACTCAACGATTTCTACATTTGATATAAAGTTTATATTTCCAAGTAAGTAAAAACGATAATTCATTGGGGTGTGTCATTATCTCCATTATAGAGGACTTCTTTAAATGGAGGTTATTGAACTTAGGGTTCTTGATGGTGGAGATTAAGTCATCTTTCCGATAACAATCTAAGGACGCCACCATTATTTGTTGGATCGGTATGGAATATTTATGTCACAGATTACCACGGATTTGCTGAAGTTGTCGGTACCATAATCTCCTTCAAGTTGACTTGCATACATTGCGTAGAAATCATTATTCACAGCCATCTCTCAAAAGAAACATGTTTCGAAGCAGTTGAATTTTCAAATTAAAAAAGTCGTTACCAAAAAGTTTTATGCTAACAGATTTGTGTCAATTGATATATTTTTTTTCAAACTATCTTTCATCAACAAATACTGTATAATAAATAATGGAAAACTTGGTATGAAAACATTAATTCAAAATAAATAATATCATAATTGTTTAAGTTATAAAGACAAACTTACTATTGATTAAGTCTTGTTTCATTGAGTTATCTTTCAAAAGTCCCATTAAGGTATGTTTGTACTTGTTAAGGCCTCAAAATAGTTTCGTTGTCTTCAATAATATAACAGATAAATAAAGTATGTATTGTTTGGTTATTTGGAGATTTATATTTTTAACTTGTTATGAAATTCCAATGATATACGAAAGATACAAAATCCTTTAAGATACAAAATCGGAAATTCAGGGGTTTATACATATGAAAGTGTGAAATGAAATCGACAGAAATTATATGAACAGACATAGAGAGACGTGTATAGATCCAAGATTCTACTTTATTTAAGGTTTTGAAATAATAGTATTTATTGAATATAGGAGGATTTGCTTTAATAACATTTTGATAACAATATCTACAAGCTAACTCATTCGCTCAAACAATACTTCTAAACCAAATCGGTCTTCATGATATTTATTGTAGATATGTTCTATATTGATTGACTGGTGGCTGAATAACGTCCAGTGCATGGTATAAAAAATATGCTTATTCAGAGCATTAAGGTGTTAAGAATAAATAAATTTGGGATAGGGTCAGACATTTTGTCTTGCTACCGGCCAGCTACAGAACTTTGAGATAGTGGTTGTTCTAGTTCTTTATTGTGCAGAGATCGTGACACTTTCCTTACACGAAGCATTCAATGTCCCTATTGAGGCCGGATGTGACTACCAATTTTTACAACTCTTATAACCAAACGTTCAACACGTGGCGGTGTTAAACTAGTTTGTTGGCGCCAACCCTCACCTAACCTGGGATAGCGGTGCAACGGCACTACCCAAAATCGAACCATACAAAACAAGAAATGAAAAACAAATTTGAGAAACAGCAACAAACGACAACCACTGAATTACAGGCTCCTGACTTGGGACAGGCACATATAGAATGTGGTGGGGTTAAACTAGTTTGAAGGCGCCAACCCTCCACTAACCTGGGACAGTGGTGTAACAGTACAACATAAGAACAAACTATAAAAATCAGTTGAAAAAGGCTTAACTCATCAGATGGATACAACTAGAAAAACAAAAACACAGAGTGGACGTGGATGGGTACTTATACATCCCCACAGTAAAAAGTCACTAAGTACAGATCTAAGAGTACTCACAGTTGCCGACAGCTAGTTCAAAGTCAATAACAACTAATTAAAGAAGTCATGCATCTAAGACTAAGCCCAGAAGCCCAGGAATGACGATATGTATATGCCACAGTCAACCAGAAGATGACATGATTTTCAGCATGCTAGCTACAATGGTAACAGCCAATATTAAACCCCTATCACTATAACTGGAACCATTATACTGACTCTAAACCAACAAGTATCTGATCGCACTCTAACCTTTGTGTGCTTGGTGCAGAAAGACCTCTCACATTAATGGTTCGCACGCTATAACGAGAGAACCGAAGTAGTAAATTCCAGTTTGGCTCAGTCAGAAATCAACCCAATGACCTCTCCCATTTACGGTTACTAAGCTACAACGAAACAATCGAAGAAGTCCTTGAAATTAGGGAATTAACAATTGATTGTTTGTGTAATTCAAAACAGTGTATCATATTCTTTACAACGTGCGCTATTATCCTTTATATACTATAGCAGGAAAAGAAATAATATACAGAAAAAAATCTCGAAAAACTGAGTCTAAAATGTAGAACTTGACTACAAAATAAAATGTATATAGTGTTGTCCTAAACACCTATTAAGTAAAATTTCAACAGTCAGGTGTATTAACCTTCAAAATTACAATGCAGTATACTATTAATCACATCTCTATATACTTTTAATCAAAATACGATTTTTAATCAACAGTTTCAGTCTATTTGCAAACAAAGTCGCTAGGTTTAATATCGTCCCAGGCCTTTCCAGCTAACTTAGCAGGTCCATCACACGTAACAAGATGTGGATCTGGGATTCTAAATGGACCTTTGTCCAGAATTTCACGTAACCATTTCAGGTGGCAGTCACACATCCATGGGTTACCGGTGATAGACACAGCTACCAGATGTGGTAGAAACTGTGTATCTAGCACACCAGGTTCCAATGACACAAGTTTATTGAAGTCTAACCAAAATATTTTGAGGTTTTTTAACGAATTAAATGTTCCATTTTGAATTTTGCTGATATTATTACCCGACAACCATAATGTCCTCAATGAATCAAGACCGTTGAATGTCATATTTGTTATTATTGACACGTTGTCATCTGCGATGTCTAATTCGTACAGATTGTCCAATCCATTAAATGCGTTATCCTCTAATTTTGTGTAAGCACCTTCCCATAATAACAGGTGTGTGAGATTTTTTAGCCGCTTGAAAGCGTTTAATGGAATAACGGTAATATTGTTTCCAAGGATACTAAGCATAGTCAACGAAGAGGGAAAATATGACATGTCTGGGAGGGTTCTAAGCATGTTGATACTTAGATCTAAATGTGTCAGCTTGATATTTTTCATAAATATGCTTCTACTAATGCTGCCATCTAGTAACTTATTTCCACTCAAGCTTATTTCTATAACACTGGATAAAGGATCGAATGCATGTTCCTCAATAAACGATATGTGGTTGTCATTTACATACAAATAAATGATGGACGTAGCATTCACGAAATCGTTTGCTTTTAGACTGGTTATAGAATTATAGAAGATGGTCAGTCTCAACAAATTAGGCGGGAGTTCTCGTGGTATTGACGTGAACAAGTTCGATGACAAATCGAGAGTCTCTATAGTAGATATATTCAAGGTACTTTTTTCTATACTGTTTTCATTCAATTGGTTTCCATAAAGTTGAAGATTTTTTAGTTGATATAACCCTTGAAAAGCAGTTTTGGGTATATGACTGATTTGGTTGAAGTTTAGATTTAGATTCATTGTTTCTTTTGGTAAATCTTTAGGCACTTCGGTCATTCCTTTGCTGGTACAGGTGACAGTAATACCAAAGCAGGTGCACGGTTGTGGACATTTGTCTGCTATTATAGTCGTCGATATCAGAAGGCACAGGACTGTTTCTTTTTTTATAAATACCATCTAGAAAATGTGTAAGTAGATAAGAACCTGTAAGTAATGAAATTGTGATATCAATAACACTACAAAAAGTATTTAGTTATGCCCGTTCAAATATAATTGATGTTCTTTTCGAATATAGTTATACCTTATCACCAACCTAGTAGTCAGCACTTCTGGGTTGACATGAATTACCATTCATATGGTCATAATCATAAATAAACAGTTTATTTAACAAACAAAAAATAGAAATACTAAGGATGTTCTACCCCAGATATAGATAACTTTAGCTGCATTTGGCAAAACCTTTGTAATTGTGGGTTTTCAGTGCTCTTTGACTTCGTATTTTATTTGGTCTTTTACATTTTTTTTTATTTGAGCGTCACTGATAAGTCTTTTGTAGACGAAACGCGCGTTTGGTTAACTTTAAACCTGGTATGTACGATTAGTTAATTCGAGAATTGAATGCACAGTATCCTCGTTTTTCTTTTTTGTTATTTCAGCTCTTGTAAGTTTGACTATTCGGATGCCCAAATATTTTAGTCTAAGCAGGCATCGATGTCTCAAGAAACGTTATTTATCGAAATGCAACTCTGGTCCATCAGAATAGCTTCCAGATAAATGATATAATTGCAATTGGTTTAAACCTCTGGTGTGAACCTATACACCCCAAGGGTATCACTAGTTAGTGATTAAGCATTATTTCGGGTGTCTAAATACTAAATACGTATGTTACATTAAAAATGTATAGACAAAGTTTTTGAATTCATTTTTAATAGTTTTTTATCAATGATCACCCTGAATATGCAAAGCTCCGATTCTGAAATTTATATCGAACAATTTACCTACTAGTAGTTTGTGGTTTCTAAATACTATGACAGGTATTACATGCATAACAGATATTTGTCCAAACACCTGGTTCCAACTCCATTTGTAGGTAATGCGGTTCATTCTTTTTCGTTGCAACACAAGTAGCCTGATTTATGAGATTTTAATTGATATTGATCTACCAACATCAAAACAACCACTTACGTTTATATTTCTAATACTCCGTTTGTACCGCTGCTGTGAACTGTCAACATACCGAGGGTACCATACATCCAATATACAAAGTTGGTCCAACCAAGAGCTTGCACGAGGTCGATACCGCAGCTGGGGCATCATTCATCAAGTAGCCAGAGCTGGCCTTATCCGTCCAGGAGATTGCATGGGGTCGATAACAGTGCTGGTGGACTGTGGGAAAGCTATGGTACCATCCATACAATAGCCAGAGCTGACCTGATAGACTCCGAGCTAGCGCTGGGTTGATACCGCTGCTGGTGGACTGTACATAAACGGATAGTACCATACACTCAGTACCCAGAGCTGATCAAAGTGATACATTTTAACTGCACATTTACAGTTTATAGATTATGTAGCTGTTCTGTTTCAAATCCCTCTGGCAATGTTGATCGTAGATAATTCCGGTTGTTTATATGTCATTGTTTGTTTTTATTCACTCAAACGATTTACTTATGTCCTTAGTTTCCAAAATGATAGCATGTTGTGGGCACTAAAATGCGGTATTTTGCGTTTATATTGACTTACTAGTAGTATATTACCTTGAAAAACAATATTTCGCTAACGCTATCAACGCTTCAAAAATAAGTTTCTACTTACAGAAAAGGTTAAATTCTTCGGATCTACAACTGAACCAGTTTTGACAGCCTTACACGATACATTTGTCTTATCTCTTTACAGTATATAATAAGTCTTTAATGATATAGAACCTTTTCACACGTAGAACACTTTTTCTCTCCATCGGAATTGAAATATTAAATTCATAAATAGTTGTATGTCTCATATATAGCACATACTATTTTAACAGTAAACAAAAGTTTATTCGTCAAACTGTTGATACGTCCAGGAATGCTTAATAAACGTATAATAATGAAGATGTAAGTGGACGCATTTCTACATGTGCCGGTCCCAATTTTGTATTCCATGATTTGTTGTTTTTGTCATAATAACATTACTAAGATTATTGCATCAGATGCGCATTTCGACAATTAATGTCTCGTCAGTGAAGCGAGGTTAACATTTTGGTAAATCCAAAAAACCTGATACATACGCTAAAGAGCTGATCACCGAAAATTGTTCAAAGTATAATACTAAATTTTGTCATTAAAAGTCTTTTTTTTTTATTGTTTTCCGTTTGTTTTTGGTTTTTTTCGGGGTTTTTTTTGTTTGTTCGAAAGCTTTCATATCTTGTTATATTATGTGGGTATTTCCTCATCATTGAAGACCTGTAGAATAGCGTGTTCACTTTCCGATCCTCATCGAAAACTATGTCAAATTCATGTTTTAAACTGTAGCAAATCTCGTTAACTAGTATTTATGCATTTCTTTACAAAATACCATAAACAATGAGAACAATGTTCATACTACATGTTCATAAGAACCTATACATTAGCTTTAATTGGATTTATTATCATCTACTTACTTTACATAGGTTTTTTTAATGTTTTATTTTATAAATTATCTATAAAAACCAAAGACGCCATTCCAGCGGCTCTAACAAATTACTTTTCAAATAACTTGTCATTAAAGCATATGTAATTAAACTGAAATTAATTTTCGCATACAAAGTCATCGGGTTTCAAGACATCCCATGCCTTTCCTGCAACTTTGGGTGGTCCACTGCAAACAATAATATGTGGATACATTATAGTGTATGTTGCATTGTCCATCTTCTCCCTCAGCCATTTCAGGTGACAGTCACAAATCCATGGATTAAAATCCATGAATACTGAAGACAAACGTGGCATAAATTTGGTATCGAGGACCCCAGGGTCGAGGGTACTAAGCTTGTTATCACTCAACCATAGATCTTGTATGTTGGTCAAGGAATGAAATGCTCCTGTCTCTATTTTACTTATCTTATTGTCGGCAAGGTATATTGTTTTTAATGCTGTAAGTCCATCTAATGTATAATTAGTAATCTTTGACGAAATTTGATCGTCCATAAAGTCTATAATTGTTACTTTTGTTAATCCGAAAAATGCATAGTCAGCTAGCGTAGAAAGAGTACTGTCCCGAATCTCAATAACCTGGATGTTCGGAAGATGTCGGAAACCAAACGATGGTATTACAGTTATGGGATTGCCAACGAAATCAAAATTTTGTAAAGATGCAGGAAAATATGTCATGTTTGGAAATGTTTTAATATTGTTGTATCTCAAAGATAAATACGTCAGATTCTGATTTTTGAAAAAGGCTGTTAGAGGTATTCCACCATCCTCCAACTGGTTAAAGCTAATGGCTATGTTTATGGCACCGGTCAGTGGATCGAATGCGTGTTCTTCAATCTTGCTTAGATTTGTATTACTTACGGTTAAATACTGAATGGAAGGGTATTTAACAAAACTTGAAGCAGTCAATGTTTGAATTGGGTTATAAGCTATCGCAAATCCAATAAGTTTAGGAGGTAGTACTTGTGGAATTGAAGTGAAATCATTAATCGATAGATCCAAATCGGCAATGCTAGGCAAATCAAGTGCACCATCTTGTATACTACCTTCTTTAAACTGGTTATTTGTAAGATCAAGTGACTGAAGATGAATCAATCCTGTAAATGAATCTTTTGGTACTCCTTTTATCTGATTTGATCCGAGATTTAAAGAAATTGTCGTTATTGGTAAATCCTTTGGTATTTCAGTAATCCCTGTCCCATTACAATACACTTCGGTATTTGTGTTCTGACAAGTACAAGGGGAGGGACATTCGCCTGTACTCGTGGTAAATAACATCAGATGGAGGTACAGGGTAAACGTTTTAACTGTCATCATACTTACATTGACCGTTCAAGTGCGCTGAAATAAAATTAACTTTGACTCTAAATTATTTTGTCTATATCAGGCAACATTGAACTTGCACAGTTTTTACCGTTAGTAGGTTTTTTTTCCATTACAGCAGGGGTATAAATATCATAAATTGGTTAAAGGTTTTACCAGACAGTATCATAAAAGAGATTTTAATTTTATCTGCAGGAATTCACAAATGTCATATTTCGCATCAAGCTTTTGCGATCTTTAAGATATTTACAAAGTTTAGGAATTGCTCTTCAAATCTCTCCCATATGCCATAAAAACTAACTGGTATTGTAAATAGATTATAATGAATATACAATTGGTTGTTTTCAGTCTATGCATTTTTTGTATTATGGGGGATAATCAGAAATTCGCTAATGACTTGTTTGAATCAATACTACTGGTTGTACTCTCTAACGTTTAATGGTTTTAAATTTCTAAAGTTTTGGTTCCGAGCGTACTTGATAAAACACGTGTTGTAAAGTCATAGTATTTATTTTGATATCAATATATTTTTTTTGAAATATAAAATTACAAAGCAGAACATGTGTGCCTTCTAAAAATGTGCTTAATGCTCAATATGTAAACTACTCTTGAAATATGACGTTACAAGGTAAACCGATTTCATCAATATTACATTCACAGGAGCTTTTCTTCAGGGTGTAGTCGTCAATATATAAAATCGCTTTTAGTATAAAGTCGGTGATGGTTTTTTTTCGTAACTGCATTGTGACCTTTAGACAAATATCTACAATTTCAGTAGGACATAACACGTTAAGAGTATCTCGGTTGAAAATAAACAAATATTGAGCAATGCATAAAACTTTTTACTTTAGAGAAAAACAACGCGAAAACATAAACATATAAGTTACGTCCCTCTTATGCTGATTAACTTAAGATATAATGGTATATACATCGTAGCAAAATATTAGAATAACTTAATATGTACACTTACATTGTAAACTTGTGTCAAAATAGATGTGTATAGTATATACTATTATCTTTATTTGTTAAACACTCTTATTATAAATATATACACATATCTAAGATATATACACAAAACCCTAAGTTTATATATCACAAATTTAACATACCAGAGCTAGACCTTTTGCCATAAATTGCTTTACAAAAGCGATTATAAAACTTGTATATTTATGAAGTCTTTAAAACTTGTTGAAGAGAGCTTGTATTTTTGTTTGGGGCATTTTTAATTTTTTATTTTAACTCATAATTATAATAATAAACAAGAATTCGTTGTATTTTCTGTTTTATTTACATACAAAGTCACTTGGTTTAAGGTCCGTCCATGTCTTTCCCGCGACATCGGGAGGCCCTGCACAGTCCGTAAGAGTAGGAGAGCCTACTTTGTAAGAAGCATTGTCCATTTTCTCCCTCAGCCATCTTAAATGACAGTCACATGTCCATGGATTTCCGTAAATATAAACTGCTGATAGTTTCGGAATAAATGTTGTATCCAGTACAGCAGATTCTATAGTCATCAGTTTATTCTCACTAAGTCCAAGTTCTTGTAGATTTTTCAAAGGGTGCAAAGCTCCTGCTTCAATTTTAGAAACGTTATTTATGTCTAATGACAAGCCTTGTAGTGACACTAAACCGTTAAATGTTAAATTTGTTATTGTACTTGACAAGTGTCCTTGAGTTAAATCTAAAAACCTTAGATTTTGTAATCCAAAAAACGCGTTGTCTTCAATAGAGTTAATAGTTCCCTGCGCTATTGCCAGGTTTGTTAGGTTCGACAATGATTTGAATGCATGTGACGGTATAGTTGTTATCTTGTTACCATAGATACTTATTTTTTGTAAAGAACTTGGAAGATTTGATGTATCTGGTATTGCTTGTAGCTGATTATAATTTAACCTCAATTCATTTAGCTTCACATTTTTGGAGAACGCTTTAGGTCTTAAACTGCTATCGTTAAGACTGTTTGAACTTAAGTCGATCACTCGAACATTAATCAATGGATCAAAGGCATGCTTCTCGACTATATCAATTTGATTTGCTAGCATGTTAAGGTATTGTATGGACGTTGCATGTACGAAACTATTGGCCTTAAGTGTCGAAATAGGGTTGTTGTAGAAATTCAAAGTTAAAAGTTTTGGTGGAAGTTCCTGTGGAATTGAAGTAAATAGATTTGCTGACAAGTCTATCATGTCTATGCTTGACAAATTAAATGCTCCTCTTTCAATGCTATTATCTTGTAACTTATTTCTTGTCATGTCTATGTAACTAAGCTGGTAAAGTCCATCAAATGCGGTCTTTGGTATGTGAGAGATTTCGTTGGACCTAAGAAGCAATGCTATCGTATTTCTGGGTAAACCTTTTGGTATTTCTGTTATCCCTGTTAGGTTACACACAACAGTTGTGTTATTGTATAAACACCAGCATGGTGAAGGACAAGGATCAGATAAGCTGTACTGTAGACACAGGAGAACTAAAATGACTGCAATTTGCTTCAATACTGTGTACATTCTTGTTTGTACTTTGGACATTTCAAGTATCTGCAACAGATTATAATAACATGAGAGAAAAAATGCTTTTACATTTGGCAATACTAGTTTTTATCAGTATCAGTGTATATGAAAATATATACTCCGATAAAGTACCCTTGGAAGCTGGCACTCTAATTTTCCATACGGACTTTGGGCATTGGTGCATCCTTAAAATGTCAAGCTGCAATATCTAAAAATATCTAATGACATGTTTAAAGCATCTATACCATACATTCATTTTTATAAATCGTCTTGATTCTAGACAAGTTGTGGAGAAATCTAAAGAGACCACCAAAGATGTGTCATCAAACACCAGATTATTTAAAGAATAAACTCATTACGATATACATAAGACAACGCGTTGATCAGATCTCCCACTTTTTATATTGTGGGTCAGCTAAAAAAGTTTATGGAATAGAAGACAATAAAAAGGTATCATTTGATTAATGCCAATCTTTAATTATGTCAGCGTTGCATAGATGCCTCAGTCTCTGTTCAGTGCCTTCTTGGTTTTGGGTGCTTTTATATTGTTATTTAAAAGGTATACTTATTATTATTATTATTTGAAAGGTAGATGTTTTGATTATTATCATTAAATATGTAGATTTTTTTGTTATTATCATTTTAAAGGTAGATTTGATGAGGTTGACATTTTCACTCCTTAGCTTGAAAAATCTGAAGCAACGCCGCATACACGAGTCAGGTCTTCTGGCGAAATATTCTAGGCAGTGAAAAATTAAAATAATGTATCAAAAATCCCGTCAATGTCAGTTAAAAGAAACTTGGCCTTCTGAATAGCCGTGTATTGCTTACTTCAAGAAAAAGGGGTCTTTCTGGGACTACAAGCGTATTCAATCAATTACAATGTATGATTTCTATGTATATTTATACTTACGAGCCTTGTTTACACTTCTATTTCGTTTAATGTCTTATCTCTCTGAGTAGGTGCTTATCCCGTTATATTATAGATAAAGTTCTTAATTTTACAACGTGAGATGAAGCATTTTAGATTTTGTTTTTGAACTTTAGTTGAAATCCATAGGAAGATTTAGGTGTGTTTTTGGAAGTATGATACGCAAGAATATATATATTTTTTTTTTTTTTTTTTTTTTTTTTTGGAGGGGGGGGGGGGGGGGGACTTGTTAAGGAAAATCTGTCTTCATAAGTTGTGATCACAGCAGAGTGGAAGTCAGTTCTTCTTCACCCCTTTTTGAAACCCTGGATTTGTCGTGAATGTTCACAATTCAATATTTGGATGATTATGTGGAATATTGGAGTCCCTTTTGACACATCTTCCCTTATAAAATTAGTAAACGCTCAATGCAATTTAAAAAGCGTTAATCTTTGTTTCTCTATTACTGATATAAGATTGTTGCTTTCGATGGAGATTTTGTTTTACAGGTTTCCTTTACAAGTATTTAATAGATGATTAGAGATTGTAGCTGCCGAGGAAACAGTTTTACTTGGCTTCATGACCAGGGTTTAATTTCTTCTTACCAGGACGCTTTTGTTGAGATTTCATAACAGAGATAAATGGCCGAACAGAGGGGTTGCCTTTTCAATGGTGGAAGGCAAATGTCCATGTTATACTGGTTTTCAAGCGGGAAATTTTATGACTGCAACCAAGTGTTGATCAATCATTTCAGAATGTTATAATATACATAAGCAAAGTGAGAATTGTTTTTTTTTACATTTCACAATCACAGTAATTCTTATTTTAAAATACATTCTGCACTTAATACTCAATATTTATAAGTTTTATTTCAATTCAGACTCCAGTAGGGAAAAAATGCAAAAATTAAAATCCTTGCATACTTCTATTGTGGAGGTCACTAAATTAAGCATAATCAATCAGCTTTGTTTCGCTGAATAGACATTGAACGAAAAATTCAGATGAAATGGCACTAATATTAAAAAACGTCAAACGGGTAACACATTAAAAGCGGTGGGTTTTGTTCCAAAAGTATGTAAATAAATCCTAAAAATTATCACACATCCTTATAAATTCGTCGTTTTTATATTAAATGAGCAAATTTCGGGCGTCAGTTTTCTACAATCCAAGTTTTCTCCTTTTATAATTTTTATCCATCTTACTACTTCTAAATTGTCAAAAATTAGGGAGGTGTCAGTTTTTGAGTCTGGCTGTAGTCCCACCTAGGTTCTAAATGTAAAAATCCCTTTTCTATAACCATGCCAGTATAATCTCTTATGAAACCAGGGACCTGTATGATATATATCTCTGATAAAACCTAGGACTAGTATTTTTCTACATTACGGAGAGAAAAAACTATTCTGGGGCTTAAAGGATGAATCTACTAATTTGGTCCCATTACAAATACAGTAAAACATGCATATTATTATGTCTCTGTCTAATAAAAGCAATAAAGTCATCCATATGGGTGGTGGGATGACTGTTTAATTTGACGTAAGTTGTAAATATCTTTCATATTATAGATTTAAAATTTATGTATCCCTTTGGGAGTGCTCCTAAGAGAGGAGGAAATTACCTGTAACAGTATCAGTACCAGTAACAGCTTTCAATGAATTTACGTTATTGATTCAAAGCTTTTGAAAATAATCGCTTTTCTGCTAATTTCGGAATATTGTGTTAATAAAACCCGGGACTATAGATGAAACCTATATTTTATAAAGTTATTCAAATTGCGGATTTAGTTTGGAGTTACTTTTCCTGAAATCAATTAAGAGTGAAACGTCCGTCAGATGTCGTGAGTGAAAGTACCTGTTCATGCGTGTAAATCACCAAGGTCACGGCTTCCTTTCCGGCACATGGCGGTGTTTAAACTTTTGTTTACATGTTTACAAACGAACACGAATTAATTATAAGTAAAATCAATATGTAACGAGAGTCAATATTTAGGTTCAAACGTTTAAGTAAAACAGATACAAAATGTTGCACGTAACAACAGAAATTGGAAGACCGGGAAAGAAAGGTAAAAATAATATTTAATCAGCTGATCCAGTTGAATAATTTTCCTCCAGGTAAAAAGATAATTAACAAATAAGCTTCATTAAGAGTGGACATGGTTAACAAAACAAGGACGTAACATCAGCTCTATTGAGCTTTTTACCGACATATCAGCCTCGGCGAGATGCGGATCCACGATTTTGAAAAAAGGGGGGGGGGGGGGGGGGGGGGGGCAAACTAGGCAACATTAGGAGTGTTAAAGAGTAAAAAGTCTACTCATTAACCATATATGTAGCTCCATAAGAGGGACATGGACCCCTTGCTCCCCTTAATCCACCTCTGTTATAGCAAGTGAGGGAAATTTCATATGAATTTGCTCAAATTTTTTAACATGTTGATTAAATTAGAAACCCGACATGGCTTAACATGGTTTTACATGAAATTTGACACTAGTCGCATATTTCTGAGGGTATTTAGTTTTATGGGACAAACTTATCTGTTTTGGGATTCTGTGTTGGGATCTATTTTCTGACTTGGCCGCCAACTGAGTGAATCAGCAAATTGCTCCTGACAAGGATCTCAAGAAATATGGGCACAAACTCTTTTCAGATCCCACAATGTAACACGACAACAAGGAAAGAGTCATTCTACCCGAGGACCATCAGGAATTGGAATGCCTTACCCTCCTCAGTTACATCTGTCAGCAGCCTTGAATCGTTCAAGAGGCTCCTGACAAACTAATAAATCAAAAGCCCTTGTTTTTAATCCCCACTGTTAAATATTTGTATAGCACCTTTTTTGTTTGTTACTTTAATCAAAATTATATTTGCGCACACCCAAAAGTGACAGAATAGTCAACATGATGACGGTGGTCACTAACTGGTAGAAGTAGAAGTAGAAGAATCTCAGTCAGGATTAATGTCAAACAACCTATTTTCACTACAATTAGCTTCAAATTATCACCCAAAATATTATTATCATCATTCAACGAATTATTATTTTAGTAACTGTTTGTTTTAAAGGGGTAAACTATTTTTCGTTGATGTTATTTCAAGCAAAACTAATGTTGTCACTCTTATCACATGGCAAATGGGGAACCCCAGTATTACCCTCATTTCTTGTCTAATATTACATTTAACATGTTTATGAGTAGAAAATTTTATTCAGAAAACACTGGATATAATAAAATTCAGAATGGAAATGGGGAATATGTCAAAGAGACAATAACCCGACCAAAGAGCAGAAAACAGCCGAAGGCCACCAATGAGTCTTCAACACAGCGAGAAAATCCCGCTGGCCCCTAAATAAAAATGTGTACTAGCTCAGTGAAAATGGACGTCATACTAAACTCCAAAACATATAAATGAACTAAAATTAAAAACACATACAAGACTAACAAGGGCCAGAGGGAAGGGATTGAATAAATAATGATATGTACATTGTATATAAATTATAATATATGTGAAGTTAACTGGTAATCACAAACAGTGGAAAAGATCTTAAAAATCTATTTTTTTATTGCAGAACGTGAAAAGCGACACTATCCACAGCTACAGAATGTTTGTACTGATTATGGACCATATAAACCCAGAGGCAGACGATATATACCTCATGGATATGGATTCTACGATGAATGGACACCACATAACCAGAACATACAAGTTCAATATTCAGAGTAAGTTATATCTTGCACCATGTAAGCAAACCAACAAAGTTACAAAAAGGCAATTAGGTTTTTTTACTGCAGATTTTTTACACAATTTAAATGTGTATTTTACTACAGCATTTACATACATGTACAAGTACCATGTACAACATTTATAATAATATACATGTATATGGATATCAAAGTCTTGTCTTAGAAGATACATGTAATCTGATCAGTGTTCTAGTCAGGATTTGAAAAGGGCAGGGTGCTAGTCAGAAAAAGGGCAATTTTACGTGTAAATGTCATTGAAAAAAGGGCAATTATTTAAGCCTCATAATTTATTAGCATACGTCATAAAATACATATGTACATAACATTACAAACAAAATACTCTATATAACTCAGGCATTATTGTAAAATCAAGTTTCAGTTAAAATGGAGTAATAAAATTCAATACTTTTGGCACAATTTTCTGTTTGACTTTAAAAAACTTTGTTACAACATTGTCTAAAATTGAACAGAACATGTCATTATGACAGTTAATTTTGATATGTAGCAAGTTCTCAAGTGTTGATTGCTTGAGCCTATTTCTATGATCACATTTGATCAGCTTTACTTGAGAAAACACTCTCTCAACCTCAGCTGTGCTCAGTGGCAAAACTGCTGCCACACTCATAAGTTTCAAAATTTTTAGATAGAGCTCAGTCAATCCTAGTGTTTCATTCATGAGCACAGTTATGCACTTCTGGATTGATCTGAGCTCAGCTGAAGTGTCCCCAATAAAGGAAATGAAAGATGTCCATTCATGCATGTCATGGACAAGATTGTCACTGTCTATTTTAAAGTGGTCAGGCAGATCCATCATCTCAGTAAGACCATATGTGCAGGGAATTTCTTCAAACAAGGTCAGGTCAATATCTTTCATTTTTTTTTAATTTGGTGGAGTTTAGTTAAGCGACGTAAAACATTTCAAAATGATAAAAATAATTTCCACTTACATAGTAAAGAATGATGTCAAAGTTTTATTTTCGCTAGCATTCTTTTTGGTTTCATCTTTCAGGCGTCTATCTCGAGTCGACATTGTGAAAATAATGATTTAAAATTTATTTGGACTTAATTAAGTTCTCAGTTTAATTCTAATCACGAAATCGATCGATAGTCAAGGTTAACACTTTTTATGCAAATTTTTATGCTAATTAGTTATAGGTGGCACATTGCGCATTGTCAACAAGGAAGAAAAATGGCAACGAACATTTCGACAAAACTCATCCCAGAAAAAGCAAATTTCATAATAAAAACGACAGGGCACCCGAGAAACAGCAGAAAAAAGGCACGGGCGTCAATAAAAAAGGGCGGGCGCTGCGCCCTGTTCAAACTTTGTAGCTAGAACACTGCTGGTAATGTTTTGGACATCAGTAGTCTTGTCCTAGGAGAAACATGTAATCTGATAGTGTTTTGGACATCAGCAGTCTTGTCCTAGGAGATACATGTAATCTGATAGTGTTTTGGACATCAGTAGTCTTGTCCTAGGAGATACATGTAATCTGATAGTGTTTTGGACATCAGTGGTCTTGTCCTAGGAGATACATGTAATCTGATAGTGTTTTGGACATCAGTGGTCTTGTCCTAGGAGATACATGTAATCTGATAGTGTTTTGAACATCAGTAGTCTTGTCGTAGGAGATACATGTAATCTGATAGTGTTTTGGACATCAGTAAACTACTGTACCTGTACATACATGTAGTATATTTATTTCAGACAGATTTTTTCCTTCATGGTCTTTTTTAATTTTCTGGTTCAAAACATCTTAATATAATGTACCTGTTACATCTGGATGATTAACCCTATGTTACTTGTACTTCAATAAAACTTAAAAAATAAAAATTTAACTAGCATCTTAATTTTTAATGTGGTCTTTTCAAATTGAAAAAGAATTCAATAATGTTAAACTTTTCATCTGATAATATTTTTATGATTATCTGATTAAAATTCCAGTTTCATTATACACACATTTTTTCATGAATTATTTAAATTAAATGCAGTTAGGAATAACATAAAACATGATAGCTAGGAAATGTATGTAAACAGATAGTGTTGCATACTATTTTATAAATTAATATTTAATAAAGGAATTGATACATGTCATGTATTGAAGTTCATTAAATTTGAATATGGAATAGCTAGTGTGTATACTACACATGATTTCATGCTGTTGGCTTGTAAGTTATTGATTGCCAATAGAAAATAATCTTATGTTTTATTTATCACGAACAGAGCTGGTCCAGATTGGTCTTCCAAACTGAAGTATATAGATCATCCTCAGAACCCAAAATACCCAGCAGCAGAGATCTTCCCTGAGAACTGGAAAGCTATGAGGCCATACCCATGTAAGTACTTAGTGGTCTTTTTGAACTGTAATGATTAAGCCAAGTGTGTGTAATTATTCAGCTTTGAGGGGTGAAGCTGCATATACATGTACTGTCTGTTTTGATTTTTGAAGGTTGTTGTTCTGATACATGTATATAACATGTTTAAATGAATAATTTACAATCAATGAATGGTATTTACTAATGATTCTGCAATGATTCTTATATTGCATGTCAGTCAGTCAGCACTGTGTCAGTACAGGGTTCTCACTAGGAATTTTTCATGGTGAGTCCTGGGACTCATCACTTTTAGAAATGGTGAGTCCCAATAGATTTTGATGAGTCCAGGATGCATGTAATTTTTTGTGTCTTAATATAATGAAATATGACGAAATAAAACTAATACAATGCATGTTGGATTGGTAGCTTTTATTATATCAATAAAATTTATGATCTCTTTACTTAATAGTTATTGTTCATTACAACATATATGTAATAACAGACTTCTTTCTATGTCTATCAATTCTTGGTGTAGTGGATCATTGACTCTTGGTCTTTTACTTGGAACTGATGATTCAATGTCATCAGGTTTCCTTTTGAAGAAGGACTTTAACTTTGAACTTGACTGACTCATTGTGATACTGATGTCATTTTGTTAGACAAGCTAGTACCCAGTTAATTATTATTAATTAATTTTAATTATATTTGATAATTGAGTTACATGTAATAATCATTTTGATGTTTGCATCATTATAATTATTATAGTCTTTAATAAAAACAAGCAAATCTAAAGTGAACACTGTTCATAATAATGAGTTTGGCTTTAATCATTTTTTAATCCGATCTGTTTCAATTTCAATACATTTTTATACGACCGCAAAAAAATTTTGCGGTCGTATATTGGTATGACGTTGGCGTCGTCGTCGTCCGAAGACACATTGGTTTTCGCACTCTAACTTTAGTTTAAGTGAATGGATCTCTATGAAATTTTACCATAAGGTTCAATACCACAAAAGGAAGGTTGGGATTGATTTTGGGGGTTATGGTACCAACAGTTAAGGAATTAGGGGCCAAAAAGGGGCCAAAAATAAGCATTTTTGTAACTTCCAGACATAACTTGTGTGTTAGTGTATGGATCTCTCTGACATTGTACCACAAGGTTCCATATCACACAGGGAATGCTGGGATTAATTTTGGGGGTAATTGCCTCAAAATATTAGGAATTAGGGGCCAAAAAAGGGGCAAAAAACATTTTTTTAGTTTCATGACAATAACTTGTGTGTAAGTGTATGGATCTTTCTGAAATTGTACTACAAGGTTCCATATCACAAAGGGAAAGCTGGAATTGAGTTTGGGGGTAATTGCCTAAAACGTTTAGGAATAAGGGGCCAAAAAGGGGCCAAAAATAAGCATTTTTCTAGTTTCCAGACAATAACTTGTGTTCAAGTGTATGGATCTCTCTGAAATTGTACCACAAGGTTCCATATCACACAGGGAATGCTGGGATTGATTTTGGGGGTAATTGCCTCAAAATATTAGGAATTAGGGGCCCAAAAAGGGGCAAAAAACAAGCATTTTTCTAGTTTCAAGATAATAACTTGTGTGTAAGTGTATGGATCTTTTAAATTGTACTACAAGGTTCCATATCACAAACGGAAAGCTGGAATTGAGTTTGGGGGTAATTGCCCAAAACGTTTAGGAATAAGGGGCAAAAAAGGGGCCAAAAATAAGCATTTTTCTAGTTTCCAGACAATAACTTGTGTTCAAGTGTATGGATCTCTCTGAAATTGTACTGCAAGGTACCATACCACAAAGGGAAAGATGAATCATAAGGGGGTTCAAAAAATTTGGGGGGGGGGGGGGGGGGTTTTTTCCTTTTTTTTTTCTTTTAAAATTTTCCATTTTAAGTTGGTTATTTCTGTTTTATATTTAAAAGCAAATAATAATGATATGGTAGGAGATACACACCAAACAGGATGTGTAAATTATTATAAAATAAGTATTGTGCAATAGCAAGAAATTTTCAATTGCACAGTATTGCACAATAGCAAGAAATCTTCAATTGCACAGTATTGCGCAATAGCAAGAAATCTTCAATTGCACAGTATTGTGCAATAGCAAGAAATATCCAATAGCACAATATTGCGCAATAGCAAGAAATTGTCAATTGTACAGTATTGCGCAATAGCAAGAAATATTCAATTGCACAGTATTGCGCAAAAGAAGATACTTCGTATAAATTGCATATTTCTTGACCAATTTCAATGGGGTTTTATTCTTGAATTCTTGGGGTTCTTTAATATGCTGATTCTAACCGTGTATTAAGTTTTTGGATTTTGGGCCCCGTTTTTAAATTGGTCCACATTGAGGTCCAAAGGGTCCAAAATTTAACTTTGTTTGATTTCATCAAAAATTGAATTATTGGGGTTCTTTGATATGCCGAATCTAACCGTGTATTTAGACTCTTAATTTTTGGTTCTGTTTTCAAATTGGTCTACATTAAGGTCCAAAGGGTCCAAAATTAAACTTAGTTTGATTTTAACAAAAATTTAATTCTTAGGGTTCTTTGATATGCTGAATCTAAACATGTATTTAAATTTTTGATTATGGGCCCAGTTTTCAAGTTTGTCCAAATCGGGGTCCAAAATTAAACTTTGTTTGATTTCAACAAAAATTGAATATATGGGGTTCTTTGATATGCTGAATCTAACCATGTATTTAGATTTTTGATTTTTGGGCCCCATTATCAACTTTGTCCACATTGAGGTCAAAAGGGTCCAAAATTAAACTTTGTTTGATTTCATCAAAAATTGAATTCTTGGGGTTCTTTGATATGCTGAATCTAACCATGTATTTAGATTTTGGATATTGGACCATAATAGTTGAATGTCCAATTTAAAATTTTTAAGTTCTTAGACCACATTCATTCTGTGTCAGAAACCTATGCTGTGTCAAATATTTAATCACAATCCAAATTCAGAGCTGTATCAAGCTTGAATGTTGTGTCCATACTTGCCCCAACTGTTCAGGGTTCGACCTCTGCGGTCGTATCAAGCTGCGCCCTGCGGAGCATTTTATTCACCTTTGTTTACGATCGCGATGTTCAAAATGCACAATACGAGAAAATGTTATTTGAAGACCAGTAAAATTATTTTTAACCGTAAAATTTTATATCTGCAGTGCTCTATTTTATGCATAGTAGCAACAGTTATGAAATATTATATCATTTCATTTCAAATTCTCAAACAAAATTTACTTTTTTGTTTCAATCCATATGTACGTGATGTTCAACACGTGGAAATATTCACGCTTTTCAAATACTCGTAAAATTTTTAAAAATCAGTGACTATTTCATATTTATTAATTAGTTTGAACAGAATTATTATATTTAAGGATGAAATATGTTTAATTTTTAAAATAGTTATCAGTCAAGAAAAATATTGATCTACGCATCACATAAATTTTTCAACATAGACTACGGTTTAGTTTCGTGTCAAAACAATGTCGACAATCATGAATCTTCCAGGCAAACCGATGTGTTTGGGACTCAGGGGATACAATAAGGACGCGTCCCAGGGACTCACAGGTTTCCAAAATGATGCGTCTAGGACGCGTATACACGTCTTAACGAGAACCCTGTCATTATGTCTATTAAATTCCATTATCTGTGCCATCTGCAAGCTGCAGTAAAGTGTACTGGTGCAAGATCAAGGATTCAGCAGAGAATATTATATCCTCAAACAGTAATAAGATTGAGTCTGTTGTTATGAACATGATTAACTACATGCAAGAGATCACTGTTAGCTATAGACAGCAACCAAACAACACAAAGTAAACATATGTATGTGTAGATCTTTAGAATTTAGATTCATATTTATTGTACTAAGTACTGGGGATTCATTTTCTTCTTTGGGTACTGATTTTATTATTTTCCTGGATTGTAGAAAATTGTCTTTTCACAGATATGTAATTTTATGGTTGCATCAGAAATCTGCAAACAAGCCATTAGACAATCTATTTAAATTCTTGGTTTACCTGTACCTATAAAATTGATCCCCAAGAATATCAATGAATCCACAGTACACATAAAATGTCTTGTTTACTAATGAATAAAAGGAGTGTGTCAATGAGACAGCAACCTAAAAGCACAATAAACAAAAATACTTAGAGATCACCATACGGTCTTCATCAAGCTCTAAATTGCACAGGGTCTAAACAAGTTGTTGTATATTACTACATATCTTATAGTTATAGCCGCTTCTCTGTTGATGTAATGAATGAATGATTCTGTTTATTTCAGTTACTTATAGGAGGTCAGATAATGAGTGGTTATTAGACCCTGGACTGTCCAATAAAGGAATGAAATGTACATTTAATGGTGTTCATAGAGCAACTGATACTTCTTCTGATGAAATAACACATAGAATGTTATATGGAAGAGGCAGAAGGGGTAATTCTAATGGATAATGTAGCTTAAGTTGAAATTAAAGTTTGTTTGACACTCGAAAGGGGTAATATTGTTGAAAAATTAAGCTGTACCAGGTTTGGATACATAGTAAAATATGCTAAAAAGATGTTATAAATTGTGAAAAAAATGGACCAAAACTGACTTACAACATATAATACAAATAATGATTAATTAAAGGTCATAACTTAGAAATTTTTAATGAAAATATTGTTTTAAAAGTAATATAACAACAATTTTTTGTGAAATTTATAGTATTTTGACCTGATTATAAAAAAATCAAAATTGCTGTTTTAGTCATTTGTAATTAGAGAGAAAAAAAATATCAGACAACTTTTTATGATTGGAATGAGAATTTATGTTTTGAAAAAAATTGAATGTCTGAAAAACTTGAGTGATAATTTTTTTATGTACATTCTTTTACTACATGGTACTTAATATTTTAAAGGAAAGTATATCAGTAAAATACCAACTTCTTGGGAAAATATTTAAATCTTGTGTTTATTTTTTATTTACAGAAGTAACCATAGATAAGAGGAATGGTTTATCCTATGCCTCTGAGGGAGACAAGAATTATCAGGCTCCAGAATATAGTTCTGGCTTCCATAGAGTGGGATCTTCACTTCCACTCGCTCAGTTCGGGTAATTATTTATTGATATGTTTTATCCTAGTGTTATACAAGTATTTCCAAGTAAATTTTAAATTCAGAAGAAGATGATTCTTTTTGGTCTTAATGATGATTTCAATGTGGATAATAAACAAATCGGTGAAAACAATAAAATGTTTATGTTAAAAGAATTAATGTGTAAGAAGGGAGATAACTTGAATTATTCTATAAATTTTATTTTTGCAGCACTGTCAGGTAGTTACATTCTGTCAATTAACATACATTTGTTTGTGTCTGTGTGTTGTAACATAAGTAATCCCAGTTATTGTCCTTTTGTAGAACCAAAAAATGATATATTTCCCTTGTCTAATGAAACCACAATATTATAAATGTCTAATGACATAAATTATAAAATAGGCACTTGGTCACCTCACTTAAAATCGGTTCAGTTAATCAAATAAATTATCTCTTATTTAAAGCATAATTAAATTTTATTGAGAATGTTTTCAGTTCAAAATTCTTTGCTTAAACATTCATGGCAGTATTACTTAATTTTTTAACCCCAATATACAATGTATATTGCCAGTGGCTAAACCGATGACAAAAAACAATAGAAAATTCACTCTCCATATGATAAACTCTGAACGTCAATCCTACATTTGAAAGAATTATTTGTTAAACTCACTTTACAAGAAATATACATGCAAAGACACTATGTTTTATATAAAAATAAGTATGATTGCCAATGAGACAACTATCCACCAAAGTTCAAATGAAGTGGATGTAAGCAATTATAAGCAACCATACAGCCTTCAACAATGAGAAAAACCCATACTGTATAGTCGGCTATAAAAGGTCCTGACAGGAAAAATATGAAACAATTCAATAGAGAAAACTAACGGCCTAATTTAAAACAAAACAATTTATGAAAAACAAATATGACAGACATGAACCAACGACAACCACTGAACTACAGGCTTGGGACAGACACATACAGAATGTGGCAGGGTTAAACTAGATTGCTGGGGCCAAACCCTCCCCCTAACCTGGGACAGTGGTGTAACAGTATAACATAAGAAAAAACTATAAAAATCAGTTGAAAAGGACTTAGCTCATCAGATCCATACAAAGCAGAAAACATCTACCGGTAACAAAAACACATCCCACAACAAAAAAGACACTGAGTAAAGACTGTTTTATTATTTATAGAGATAAATGCACTAAAAGCTTTAACTGAAATTTAAAAAATGTTAATCTTTGCTGCATATTGATAAAAAAAAAATGGAAAAAATCCTGTATATATACAAAATCTAAAAATCTTTAAGGTAAAAAAATAATTTTGGAATGTTCCATATAGTCCTAAGCATGTTACAATTTCCCAAAATATACCTATTTTTCACATCTTAAGTTTTCAAGTACACTGTTCTGCTCTTGTCACATGATCTTTCAATATAGAAATGTTGTCTTTTTATAAATATTACAATTTAGATATCAAGTCTGTGCAGGTTGAAAAATAGAAATAAATATTTTTTTTAAAGTAGGTTTTCCTTTTAAGGATTTTTACTATTTTTTATACATTTTTAAGTAAAGGTCGTCTTGATATCTGTGCATGTATTTGCGGTTTTCTCGATATTCACATTCAATGTTTACATCAGGATAAAGTTTGTTTGAATTTGCTTAGTAACTTTATTTCAAAATTGTTAATCTTTGCTGCATATCAGTCAATTCCTTTGAATTTTTTCCCTGAACTTCTCTGATCTAGCTGCATATATATACAGATATTTGGCATGTTCCAGAGAGGTATACAGCCAGTACAAAAATAAATTGAAGTCGGTACTCCAGGAATTTATTTGCATAGCAACATTTTAAACCAGTTTTACATCAAGCTTCTATAGCCTGCTGTATTCTTCGTTTGTTATTAACAGAACGTTTTTTCTTGTGAATTTATAATTAATAGCGTCCTTGCTAAAACGAGACAAACATCGAAAAGATCAAGAATTCTGTGTTCACAGGGGAGGTAATATTTTGTCACTAGATTTCCCACTTTTGCTATTTAGTACCCATATTTTAAAGGGTTTGAATTTGTGGCTTTTAACTGACAACCTCCTGCCCCTACAAAAAAGGGAAATTAACAAAAAGCATTTTTAGATCACCTGACCTAAATGGCCAGGCCTAAAAGGCCAAGTGATCTGTTCTCATCACTTGGCGTCTGTCGTCGATAACTTTTATAAAAATCTTCTCCTCTGAAAATACTGGGCCAAATTTAACCAAACTTGGTCAAATTCATCAGAAGGGTATCTAGTTTAAAAAATGTATCCCATGACTAGCCTGCCAACCAACATGGCTGGCATGGCTAAAAATAGAACATAGGGTAAAATGCATGTTTGGTCTATTATCTTGTAAACCCCTATGAATTGAGAAAATCTGTCGGAGCAAAAATGTTTAGAATGATGAGATCTGCATATTGGCTATTTACTTCAAAACTGTCAGACAATTTCTTAAAGGAGTTACAGCCCTTGAATGACGAATTTCACTGATTTGTTTTTTAAAGTTTGCCTTATATCTAAAAAACTATAACAGATAGAGAGAAACTGTATGTACCAAAAATGATCAACAAAACAAGATCTACAAATAAGTCCAATGGTCGAAATCGTCAGACGACTCCTTATTGGAGTTGATGCCCTTCAATTTTTTTTCGTTTTTGCCAAATATCTGAAAATTTGGAGTTAATGCCCTTTGATAATGATTTTTACTATTTTTGCCTAATATTTGAAAAACTATAATAGATAGATAGAAATCTAAATTAGGAAAATGATCAGCAAGACTTGATCTACTAAAAAGTCAAATAGCTAAATCATCTCTTTAATGACGATTTTTACCAATATTTTATGCTTTTGACTACTGTCTTGAAGACTATAAAAGATAGATAGACATTTTGAATAGCAAACACCTTGCAGAAATTGTTGGTTTACTCTTTATAGGAGTGATTGCCTTAATTGATATTTTCTTGCTGTTTTTTGTGTTTTGGGCAAAAACCAAAGAAAATAGAAACTGTAAACAGAAAAAATGATAGCAATTCAAGATCAACAAAAAGAGATTTTTGTCATGAATTCTATTCTAGTCCACAATGCTAGAGAGAGTCCATTGTTGAAGATGCTCATAGACCTAGGTGAGCGACACAGGCTCTTTTGAGCCTCTAGTTTTATTCTGTAAAGAATTAAGCATGTGAAAAAGTACTTTTATTTTAAATAAACAAATCAATTATCATGCATCAATTTTCCATTCTCTGGAAAATAATATAAAAAAACTTATGTCTAATCTCACTTTCTTATTAAAACATGAGAATGACAACACATTACATTGATGTAGGCAACAATATAAATAGAATATAAAAATCTGATATGATTGACTTTGTAGTATATGTAGGTGGAAAACACCATGGCCATTTATTATTCACATCCATGACTAGTAAGTTCCTGTAGAGATCTACATTTATAGGAAGAAGGATAATCTATAAATAATTTAGTTAGACTTTTATGATTTATGGAATGTTTTTTGGAGATATGTTAATTTCTTAAATTCAATTTTATTAATATGTTCTTTTTTCTTTCTTTTTGGGGATTTAGATACATGTATTTTGTAATTTACAGATTTCCCTTTTGAATTTATTACTGATAATTGAACTTATTTTATATTAGATATTAGATTTGAATTAAAATGAAGTTAATAGATACTAATTAATTAGGTCTAATGATAACTACAATAACAACATCAATATTATATGTATTTATAATATCTGTAAAAGATAAATTGTGTTTGCAATCTCAGTTTTGCTTCTGAAATTATTTAAACCGTCCCATCAATTAATTAATGCTTCACAGTATTAAAAATTAATAAATGTTTACAATTATTGAAAATCGTTTCATTAATTTTATTTGAAAACAAAATGTTATTATGAATAAATAAAAGAAATGACAAGAATAGTCTACATTTAAGTGGATTCCAAACACTGGTCCCTTTGTAGAACATACATTTGTTTTATCCTTATGTTGAATGTTATAAATGTATTAATACCAGTTGTATTTCAGTCTCCTTTTGGTATACCAGGAATTTGTTGACACCTGAATTGTTAAATTATTGAAGACAAGTAACACAAAAATATATGGGATGTACAACAATGTAGCTTGTATCTGTATTAGAATAGAAATGCTGTACATCAATCTGTTTCTTTTAATGATCCAAGTGCACTGTGCTCTTTGTATTTAGAAGAAACCTTTTCAAAAGCATTTTTATTATCAGAAAGATATTAGCAATTTTGTTTATTTACTTTACTCAATGAAATGTGTGACTACTTTTGTGAAAAATGATAAATTCCTGGTTTACCAAACAACAAAACCATTCCTAATTTAACCTTGAGTATGTGTTTAATATTGCTTACCATGTGTTGTGTGTTTGTTGCAGTGCTAATTTTGGCAAAAAACAAGTAGATACATTCGTACCCCTCCAGCCTTTACCATCTGTCAAAAGGTACCATATCTTTCTTATTAGCATGAATTTGTAGTATAATCTTTTAGCATGCACATTTCCTCTTTCACATGTTATACTTTGTTTTATTTTTATTGTTACTCTTTACTGCATGTGCCATTCATATACATTGATTTATGTCAGCTGTATATTTCTTGAAGCCTCTGGGGTTTTCAAAACTGGTGGCAATTTGAATACTGCATTTTCTTACTTTCCTATGCTCATTTATGAAAAAAATACTTTTAAATCTTGGTGAATGTAACACATATATTTTCAGCTTACTTTTGACTTAATTAACTTCTTACTTCTGTTTGAAAACCTTGGTTCTTCAGTGTATTATTCTAGCATGATCAACAACTGCATGGTTAATAGAAGTTTACAGTATATAAATTGTGATTTAGATACACATTTTTATTGGTGGTGTATGGTGATTGATTATTTTGTACAAAAGTACTTTTATTTGTGACCGTATGATGTACCTCTATTTGAATACAGAACAGGAGGCAAAGATCTCAGAAAAATAGTACAGTTTTTTAGGATCATGCATGGTCAGTTTTGTTAAATTTCTATTATTGTAGCCCATTGTTACCATCTGTACTGAGAATGCTGAGGTACTAGGACAGTGCAGAGCATTATGTCGGCATGAAATTTCTACTATTCTTTGTTATATATCACCACCAACAGTAATTTTAACTGAATCACCATTTATGTACTTAATGGTATTAGTTAATCATATTATAATCAAATGCAAATATAAGAATTTATTTATATTACAACAATTCAAGTTAAATTAAGATATAAATGTTACATGTAATAGTCATGATTTTTAGTTTGATTTCAATGTAGATAGAATTGAAAAAAACTTTTATTCAACACTTTAGTCTAACTTATTCAAATTATTTTACACTTCAAACTTGGGTCTTTATTATCTGAAGTTTTAGTTAACATATCTAAACATTGCAGGATTACTGCCAAATTATATAAATATACATGTTAGCAAAATTGTTTTTTATAAATTATGTGGTTAGCTTTCCCGTTTGAATTGTTTCACATTCTTCATGTCTGGGCCTTTTATAGCTGATTATATGGTATGGGTTTTTCTCATTGTTGAAGTCCCTACAGTGGCCAATAATTGCTTACATCTACTTCATTTGAACTCTGGTGGATAATTGTCTTATTGGCAATCATACCTCATCTCATTATTTTTATATTAATATGATTTAAAGCTTGCTATATGGAAAAGACACTTGTTTATTGTTAAAGATTACCTTTTTTACTGCAGATGTTGTATTTTGGGGCTTTCTATTGTGTTGTTAGGTTTGTGTTGATGTCTCATTTGAGTGTACACAACATTCTCTTTTAATCATATTTAAATGTTCTTATTGCCCAAAATTTTATGAAAATGGAAGTTATCTGCCCCTTTATATTATGTTCAGGGTATCATTTCTGATAAACTTAATGTTGCTTTACAATGCCTGTTTACAGCTGATGAAGATGATGATTTCCCTTGTTATACAATTAACAGAACAACATGTCTTGGAATATTTTTGTTATACTGTTTGCATTGACTGGAGCTTGAAAAATGAATTATTGACATACCAAATTGATATCCATTATAGAAAATTTTAGAAAGAACTTTTTATGCCCCACCTAGGGGCATTATGTTTTTCGGTCTGTGCGTCCGATCGTCCGTTCATCCTTCAGTCCGTCTGTCCCGCTTCAGGTAAAAGTTTTTGGTCAAGGTAGTTTTTGATGAAGTTGAAGTCCAATCAACTTGAAACTTAGTACACATGTTCCCTATGATATGATCTTTCTAATTTTAATGCCAAATTAGAGTTTTGACCCCAATTTCACGGTCCACTGAACATAGAAAATGATAGTGCGAGTGGGGCATCCGTGTACTATGGACACATTCTTGTTTTATTAATAAATTCAATATATAATTACATCTTTTTTTGTCTCATGATGATATGACTGTTTTAAAAAGTTAATTGTTGTTTTGGTAAATTAACAAATCAGTTTATTAACCCTATTTTGATTATTTATACTTTTTCTTTCAAATTTAAATTTTGAAAACCATTACTTATATATATTTTTTTATTTATAACATAGTAAGGGAAATACTAAAAACATACACCAGTACATAAAAATTTGAAATAAATATTTGTTTTTGTTAAAGTATTTGTAATCAAAAAGCTTATACTAAATAGTTTCATTTTTTTTTATATAGAGACACATTTAGAGAAGTAGAGAGAAGAAAACAGAAAGAAGCAGAAATCAATGTAGTGAAAAATTTAGATGTATGGAAACCTGCCACACCGCTGAACATTATACAACACAACGAGGAAGTGGCTGCTGCCACCAAAAAATAATGATGTGCTACCACTATTAGGCCATATTATTGGTTTTGGCTGCCATTTAAATAGCAATGTTCTGCCATAGTTTTCTTATCAGTATTATGACATCCTATCAGCTATTTTTTTAAGTTTTCATGGCATCATGAAATAATATTATATTTTTGATAGCAAATGAAATGCAATTTGAATTTATTGATGTTTTGTTATCCAACATTGATTATGTAGTTTCTCAAATCTTTTTTTGCAATAGAGCTCGAAAATGAATTGAACATTCCCATTCTGTACCTTTTTCTTGATCAAATCTTCTTATTAATCATTTGGTGCAATGCATTTTGCTGTAGACTATCAGTGTTGACAATTTTCTTTTTCCAAATTTTAAATGCTAACGTAGATGTAATTAAAATTATTTGAAAAAGGAGTTAATATACATCCCCCATGGTAAAATACTGCCATATAGGGTAAGGCAATTCAGATTTTATTCAAAGGACGATAAACTTATTCTGACATAGATTTTGGTAGTTAGTGTTAAATTAGTGCTCACAATTACAGTGAAATTGTATATGTTGTCAGTTTCTGTTCTACCTTCCAACATCTGCCATCTGTTTTCTTTTTGTATTCAATTTTATTTTATGAAGTAACTAATTTATTGTCAAGAAAATGGCATTTGACAATATAAACATAAATGTAGCTATAAATGACTAAAATCAATGCTATTTGAGTGAGCTTTACAGCTTTTTACCATGGTTACTGCCCTTTTGAAACATAATACGTATTCTAGATTGTCCTCTTCATGAAATTTCCCTTCTATCCTAATTTTCTGTTTGAATCACTATAGTTCACAGTCTTCATACTGATATGCACAATAGTTACATATCATTGTATTCATAAAATACAAATTTACTTATATGATTTGCTCAATTATTTATTTAAGTATATAAGATATTTATGTGTTTATGAAAGATACATACAATGTATGATTGAAATAATTTTGTGACAAATGTTTTACATGGTTTAAATTGGGTTATGTAGATGTTTGCTTAAAAGTAATGATACAAAAGAATTTGTCAACACCAAGTGAATGGACTTCATGTGATAAAACATTATATATGTTCAAATATTGATTCGATGTGTGTATGTGTAATATAAAAAGATTAGGAAAGACTAGGTTCTGTCTTACTTTGGGCTACTTTAATCTTAGTTTTATGCCATATAATCTTAAACTTCTTAGACCAAAAGAATAAGAGTTTCTTATTTTTCATAAGTTGACCAACAATGCACAACAGCTTCCGTATAGAAACTGTAATTACAAATGACATTATACTTGTACTGATTTCTAACATATCAGTATATGAAATGCAAAAAAACAAATTTTACCATTTTTCATTCTTGAAAAAGTGACAAATGATCAAGATATTTTGTTATGGAGCCCGAGAAGTATACATTTTAATACTTTTGACTGACTGTATCATCAGTAGGTGAAATAATTGTTATGTTACTAAAGACATCAATGTTATATGTTTTATGACAATTGCTTTCTTGTTATCAGTATTTAAATATTGATATTACAATCTTTTAGTTATTTATTTATTCATTTATTTATAATTCTGTTTTTTATTTCCTTTTAATAGTGAAAATATTACTTTAGTCTGAATTCAGAAAAAAAAATCCAAATTTATTGTGAATGATTAAAGATGATTGAACATTTTGCGTGTTGTATTACGTTTTTGATTTTATAACATCTCCTTTTATTATTCAAAATACTTTAAGCTTATCATCAGTATTAAAGCTTTAATGTGATATATTTTATACCGATGTTATCATGTATGTTACAGGGTTTGATGTAAAGATAGAGCTCAATATTATCAAAATTTACAATGTGTGAGAAATATACTTTTCAAATCAGTTTGTTTGAATTTAGAAATCTTTTATTTTTGTATTTTCGTGTTATGTTTACATAGATGTGATATATTTACATGTTTGTTCTTTGTTGTTGTAAATAAACAAAGTTGTCTACCTATATTTACGATTTTAAACTATGCTGTTATTTATTTATAAGTATCTGTGATAAATTAAACCATTCTTTACAACGCAGTTTGTTTGTATGCTTTTGGAAAGTAAATTGCACTGGTAATTTTCATAATAAATAGATTTTTTATTGGTAGTGAAGTTAAAAGCCTGTACTGGCTCCCACTCAACTTAAAACTTACATTTGTTAGAGTTCAATTGAGAGTAAGATAATGACTTTTTATTGGAAAACAAAGGAGTTGGTCAGGTAAGGGCTGATTTTGGCCTCAAAATTCAGGTTCATCTGATGAAAGATTTTGGACACTTTTTAAACACTTAAGTGTCTACTTCAGTCGATTCAATTAGTTTATGTGAAAGATTTGAACTGATTTAGTCATTAAAGACGCTCAAATTCAAGCTTAAATATGAAAAATCTATCAAATATGCCATAAAATGTCACTTTTCAGATGGTTTATGTCAAAAATGAAAGTGGCCGCATTCGTGTTCATTCTCAACCTTTATATATGTTATGAATTATCATCAAATACAACTTACATTTAAATATGAAGAATGAACACAAATGCGGCCACTTCCATTTTAGACGGAAACTGTCTAAAAATTAACAAAAATGCTAAAATTTCGAAGATTTCAGTAATTTAGCATGACTTAATGATGCTAGTACCCGATACATGTGCATTGTATTGTCAAAAACAGCCATTATTTATGTAACAGAAGTATTCTTCTTTCCAATAAATAGCTAAAAATTTACATTTTAACAATTTTGTAAAACTGCTATATTTTGGGGCCAAAAAGGGGTCTTACTGGTCCTACTCCTTTATAGATGACATACTGAATATTCCTATATCTATCAAATTGATGAAAATTGCAGGAATAAATGATTCTCTGTTTTAGAAAAATGAGTGGATATTTCTTTAACTTACATAGGTCACTAAAGTTCTTCAGATTGTTTCTATTTAACGATTATATTTAAATATTTCTAATTATCTATGACAATGTATTTACAGAATGTATCTGATTGCTTATTATCATAATGCTTCAATCATTTTATTCTTTATTAAAATTTTAAGAAAATCAAAAAATTCTTGTTTTAAATAAAAAATAGGACTGGGATGGCAATTAGATAAGTTGAAATATCTAAGCATTAACCAGAAATGTATGTCTGTAATTTTTTAGAGTTGGATTTATTAGTCTGTGATAGATATGGCTGGTTATCATATATATATGAAAATAATAAGAGGTGGTATCATTGCCAATGAGACAACTCTCTACCAGAGACCAAATGATGTAGAAGGTTAGCAACTTATGGTCACAGCCTTCAACAATGAGCAATATAGTGTATAAGAATATATTTGATTTAAGCCTGATTCATGTTAAATCACAATAGTAAAATTTCTAAACCAATCTATCCCCTTATAGTTAAGAAATCTTTGCATTATGGGATGTTAACAATTCTCTTATTTAGAAAAATCTGAATCATTACAATGATTTATTGTCTCGCCTTGACGGAGTCAAAAAGCGAGACATAGGTATGCAGTTTCCGGCAGCTGCGGTGGCGTCAACAATGTTAGGTCTAGTTTATGGTGAACCACAAGTGGTAGGTCAATGATTTTTGGTATGCAGTTGTATTAGCATTGCCACATGTCATTTCCATGGAGATTATTTACCCCTGCCCCCTCAGTCATGGTCTATTGACTTTGAAACTTTTGCTTAGTTTACATGTATTAGTTTGTGATTAGGTCAGTTTATGGGGAACCACTAGTGGTAGGTCAATGATATTTGGTATGCAGTTGTATAAGCATTGGCATATCTTATTTCCATGGAGATTATTTGGCTCCGCCTCCTCAGTCATGGTTTATTGACTTCGAAAATTTTGCTTAGTTTACATGTATTAGTTTGTGATTAGATCAGTTTAAAATGAACTGCTAATGTTAAGTCAATGATATTTGGTATGCAAATTTCATGGCACTTGCAAGTATTGTTTCCATGGAGATTATATAGCCCCACCCCCTCATTGGATCATTTCATTGACTTTGAAACTTTTACATAGTTTACAAGTTAATGTTTGTGTTTAGGTTAGTTTAAAGGGAACAACTTATAATTAGTCAATGGTATTTGGTATGCAGTTGTATTAGCATTGGCACATCTCATTTCCATGGAGATTGTTTAGCCATGTACCTTCAGTCATAGTTCATTGACTTTGAAAATTGCATAACTTACATGTTCAAGTATTGCTATTTTAATTTCAACATTTGCATAATTAAAATTACAAAAAGGCGAGACATATCTCTGTGATAACAGTTTATAAAAGTAGGTATTACAAATGAGTGTTGTAAAATTTCAAACTATCTAGTTCTGCTAACAGAGTGGCTGTATGGCAGATGTAAACATTTCTTACCCACTACAACTCAACATTATGAAGCTGTAGACCAAATATAAAAACTTGCCCTTTTACAGAAGCCAAGAAAAGTTTGACGAATGAAGTGTGGTAAACACTCGGTAAACAGGCAGTGTCTGTACGACAGATGTAGGACAGTTTACCATGGAGTTTTGGTCAAATTATGATTTTGGCCCTCATTTCAGGGTTCATTAAACATAGACATAGAATAGTGCAAACGGGGCTTGGTTAGCCTGACCTTGTCTTCGTTTTCATGTTTTCGTGGCAAGGACATATTTTCGGTTATTATAGATAAAGGATAACTATATCAGGTAATAAAATTCGCTTACAGTGTACATTTCCGTCTAGCATGGTTAACTTGAAGTCATTTTCATACGATTGCTTATCCTTCCGAAGCACCTGATCACCCTTAGTTTTTGGTGGGGTTCGTGTTACTCAGTCGCAAGTTTTCTATGTTGTGTTTTGTGTACTGTAATTTTTCTATTGGTCTTTTTCTTTTTTTAGCCACGGCGTTGTCAGTTTATTTTCGACTTGTGAATTTATATGTCCCTTTGGTATCTTTCGCCTATTTTTTAACGATGATCCACAACACAACTTCTATAAGATTTATAAAGTAAAAATATACTAAGCGTAGAGAAATACGACTTTAACAACTCAAGACTTCATATCGACTAATACAAATTCAACAATTTAATTTAAAAGACATTTATAAGTACATGTAAATATGCAACTTGGTAGCCAAATAAAACAACGAACTCAAATTTATGGCTGAAGATAAAAACAACGTACTGTAAATACAAGGAACATATACAACTCATTAAAAGAATTAAATCTAATAGAGCATTTCTTTTGTGAACATTCAACATTTTTTTCTTATTTCTAAATGTATGTGGATAGACATATTTTATAATCGAGGTGTTTTTTCATCCTATATTCCGTAAGAAAACTGGTTACAAATTTTATGCACATGACGTCATTAACACTTGGTTAATAACAAACAAAACTGTTGGCCTGTTGTAAATTTACGTCAAACATTTTAAGTAAGAAGTAAGGATGAAAAACAATTATTTGTAAATATTAATATGAAGGCAACAACCACATGTCAAACTACTTGCGGTTCGTGCAAAGTTTGCTACGCAATCTGATTTATATAACTTAAATCTTCCTGATTCTGCGCTCAACCCTAACATTAAATTAGAAAAATATTTAGAAATCACGTTCATATTCACTTAGTAGTTTTTTCGGTACAAAATGTTATTTTAAAGAAATGACCGAACGAAAATTGATACTTTGTACAATTACATGTTTCTGTTTAAAATGGTTCATTATTACTCAGTTTTGAACATGGTAAACATATACACACTCCCCTCCATTACTAGTTAGTACCAGCTCATTTGTTCTGTTGTTGAAATTTACATGAGAAACACTCGCTATTCCATCCTTTTCTGTCAGGACAGTATTTCGTTCGCCAAATCGTAGTTTATATAGTGTATTTGTTATAGGCTCACACACGTAAACACCACCAGACGCATCGCTTGCAATGCGACAGTTGTTCCTAACGTCGCCGTTTTTGTAATATACCGTGTTTTCCCCAGTAACTGATACTTCTGAGATTTCTTTCCGGTCTTTGTGAGTGCAGATGAACGAATCGCAGCGAAAATTGATACACATATCACTTATATCAGTTTTTAAAGGGATCGATTTTAATATTTCACCATCAAAGTTTATTGAACAAATATAAGCGGAGTCTTCTCCTTTGATACAACACTGAATACACACCCATATCTGGAAGCCTCTTCCAAATATAAATGAACATTCGCTATTTTGACTTGTGTCTTTTCCAACAAGACTTTCAATGCATGGTCGAATATATTTCCTGTCTGTTGTAATTGATTGCACATCAACCACAACTATAGGTAGTTTGTTCTTACACGTTACTAAAACACGTGATTTCTCAAATGAACACAACTGGTTTGGTTCCTCGGGTAGTGATATTGAAACTCGTCCAGTCTTCCCAGATTTGATATCGAAAATGCTAAGTTTGTATTTTGAATCCCATTTTGATTCTGTTAGAACGATTCGATTGTCTTCAGTAAAGCAACATGCACCAAATATGAACCCTTTAGTAGGCGTTAGCGTCTGTATTTTGGTTGCTGATATGAATTCTGTAGATATTTTGCCATGGATATGCAATTGTTTTTCGTTTAACAAGGAATGATCGGTATATCCTGTTTCTTCTAACGATGAGATTAAATCGGTCAATTTCCTTGCAAAATTTGCTGGTATCATGTTAAGTTGAATTGATTCAAGTTCTTGCTTTGTTTTTACAATATCTTTTTCGTTTGCATCCTGTATTGTTCTGAGGTGTTGTAACATTAGGAAGAAATGTGTTTGATTAGTAATGTAATTAAGGTGATCTGCAGTTTCAATATTTGAATCTAAATCACTTTGTAATGTTTTTAACTTGTTCTCAATTTCTGATATTTTGTGATTCTGTTGGCTAAATCTGCATAATACACCTTTTTCTATTTGATCCAACTTTCCATTAACTAACTCACGAATTTTCAAAATTTCATTTAGGACTGAGATCTTCTGTTGCTGCAATTGTTCAGAACGATTTGATATTTTGATTACGACATCCTTTGCGTGTATGTTCAATTGTGTCAACCTTTCTTGTAAACCTTTTAAATCAGATCCATCTTTTCGTTCCTCTGAAGCATTTTCTATGGATTGTACATTTTTACATTTACTGTGATTTTCAGAAATACACATCTGACATAAAACCTGATCATGGCACTCACAGAATGCCTTTAATGCTTGACCGGCATGTCGATGGCATAACTTTGAAACAGTTCTGTCCATCATTGAAATTTTCTGGATGTCATTGACTTTATGAGGAGTTGAAAATTTTCTGTGGACTTTCCCACATGGTTCGCATAATGCTTCTAAACAATCATAGCACCATAAATTTGCCTTGTTCCTCTCATTGTCTCTAAGACAAGCCGCGCAATTCTCTGACTCTGGCATATCTGAAATGAATTTCGATGTGATTAACTAATAAAAAATTTAGTAGTTCAATGAGTATTCCTCGACTGATCAAAATATTCAACACAAAAAAAGGTTTGTATTATTAAACAGTGCATATGTTTACATAGAGATAAATATATAATGATTTATTACAACCATTGTCATATAACACAGTGATTTTTCATAACTGTGGCTTTTTTCTGTTAACAATACAGGAATATATATGATATATAAAATATTTGTCGTACTAACCACACATTCGATCATATTTTTGCGTCTAAAAAAGATGTTCAGAAATGTCACAGGTTCATCATGATACACAGTTATAGCAATTATAATTACTTACCTTCTACGGAGATCCTGCAATTAGTTCAGTCTAATATTCCAGGTATTCAGATATCAGTCCAGTACTGTGCTAAGTTAATTACCTATATGTTTGTATTTACATGTAACACGATAGAAAATTGTATTTTAATTGTACAGTGACGTCAATATAAGGAGATTTCAAATGTAGATATATAAAATGTATAATAGTATACAAATAGGGTATTTATAATTTACACACCTGAACAATATTTCATTTTTATGTAAATAAGGGTTAATAGCTAGCCATAATCAATCCTTAGATATTAAATATCGTTTGAGACGTAGTACAAGTTGGACGTTGGTTCTTGTGATATTATGTAAATCATTTTATTGTTCTTTGCTCAAATCATGACGCAAATGAAATATAGATTACATTATACGATTAATACCACCATGGTCACGTGTTACCTGGTTATCTTAGTCCATTTTTTTAAATGATTTATCATTTGATATAGTAAACGAAGTTAGAAAGTAAATCAAAAGTATTAAAACAAACAACGTAAGCCAAATGTGATTGTGATTAGATTAGGCTGGAGATATACAGCGCCATAATTTTTAATTTCCTTAATAATTTTTTATTTATTATCTTTGCTTATTTTGACAGGAAAAATTCAAAAGGAGTACATGATGTTATATTTTAACTATATGTATGTTAGGGCTTTGCACTCAGGGGATGAAGACGTTTATGATAGTACGTAGAACGTTTTTGACTGCGTTTTGTGTACCAGTAGTAAAAACCTCAGAGATTTGGGAATCTTGAATTATAAAAAAATCATAAATCATTCATTCAATGGAAATTTTAAACATACAAGTTACAAATGTGATATATGTACAGAACTTATTTAGCGAAAACAGAGTAAAATTGTAAGTGCAGAATGATATCTATATTGATGGACTGCTGTCTTATTGACGTTTACCCTGCCTGTACAATTTATTATCATGGCTTTCGGTATAGTTAAAAAGGCTATCCCATTAGTTACTGCATAATCTGTAGTCCGAGCTACAAGTATTTGTGAGACAAGTTGTAGTCTTATGCTCTGTTTTCCTAACTTTGTGAAATTTATTAAAATTAATTCCTTCGCAACTTGGGTCAATTAATGTGTATCCAATTTTTAATAAATCTTTTCACTTTTCCCCGTGATTTGTTGCTCCCATATAAAAATAAGGAGATGTGGTATGATTGCCAATGAGACAACTATCCACCGAAGTTCAAATAAAGTGGATGTAAGCAATTATAGGCAACAGTACGGCCTTCAACAATGAGAAAAACCCAAACCGTATAGTCGGCTATGTTTGTTACCTAATGGAATTATTATCTATGGTTACATGAAGTTTTTATTTGGTTTATCTATGAAAGTATTATTTATGGTTTCATGTAGTTCTTATTTGGTTTATCTATGGAAGTATTATTTATGGTTTCATGTAGTTCTTATTTGGTTTATCTATGGAAGTAACATAGACATATCGTCAATCAATATAATATTTCCATGGTTTAACTGAACTGTTGTAAAATCAAGGAGTCTTTTTTAACCTTTACCTTTTAGTCCCTTTGATGAAAGCTTATATAAACTATATAGCTTTTTTAGCTAGCCATAAAACCAGGTTCAACCCATCATTTTCCTCAGGAAAATGCCCATACCAAGTCTGGAACATGACAGTTGTTTTTCACTCGTTCCGTTCGTTGGTTGATAACGTTGCATTTTGTCAGTTTTTATTGAATTCCTTTTTTTGAATTTACACTGCAGTTCGGTATTTTTGTTATACTTTTATAAAAAAAAACCAACATGTGGTATGATTGCAAATGAAACTGCAGAGTCCACATGAAGCGGACATAAGCAACTATAGGTCACCACAAGGCCTTCAATAAATAGCAAACCCATACCGTATAGTTAGCAATGAAATGCCTCGAAATGATAAAATGTGAAACAATTCAAACTGAAAACAAAAAAGACAGACAGCAACCAACGACAACCACTGATTTACAGGCTTTTGACTTGAGACAGGCATATAGCTTGTGGCGGGATTAAACATGTTTGTTGTTGGTGTAGCAACACAGCATGAAACAAAAGATTCTTTTGGAACTTTGGTTAATAAAAGTCCGATGAAAAAAGCTCATGGGGTCATAAAGGGTGATAAACCATGGTTTGTTAAACTCATGTAAATTGGAAATAAAAAAAAATTCACTCGTCAAAATATAAATATAATAAACATAAAAGTATAAATAATAAGAAGTCACTGAAAAGAGCAAGTAAGGAATATAAAACAGAAATAAACAATTGTTTTCAAAAATATCAGTTTAAGACAGAAAAGGAGCATCGTAATATATAAAAAAAAATAACCGAAAGAATTTTGGAAAGTTTTAAATAGATTTTCCCCGAAACAAAAAAGGGAAAGTTCAATTTCACTACAAGTAATGTATGACCATTTTAAGAAGCCTAATGCAAGTGAGGTAAACGATGAGAGAGAGTTTCTTCATACAGAATTAAGTTGGTCGGTGGAAAAATACAGCAAAAGAGGATCGTATATGCTGTCATTGCGATTCAAATAAAATTGGTGACGAATATCATTATGTACCAATGAACAAATTATGTCATTAAGAGAAAGGTATATAGATATAAGAAGATGTGGTATGAGTGCCAATGAGACAACTCCCCATCCAAGTCAAAATTTATAAAAGGAAACCATTATAGGTCAAAGTACGGTTTTCAACACGGAGCCTTGGCTCACACCGAACAGCAAGCTATGAAGGGCCCCAAAAATTAGTAGTGTAAAACCATTCAAACGGGAAAACCAACGGTCTATCTTTTTAAAAAACGAGAAACGAGAAACACTTATGAACCACATCAACAAACGACAACTACTGAACATCAGATTCCTGATTTAGGACAGGTGCAAACAATTGCAGCGGGTTTAAACGTTTTAATGGTATATACCTACATATTACACAAAAAATCCTTCCCAATTAAAATTCATAGGTCTATTGTCACAATGTAATGTGCCAGTTCTAACAAAACTGGCACGTTTTTAAAACATTTAGAAAAGATATTTTATAATTTATTTCATGTTACAATGTAGTATTAAATTAAAATTTTATTCACGTTGCAATTCAAAATATTGCAAAAAAATCAACCAAATTTGGTATATTTCAATTCTACTGTATGCTATCGCTAATTTATTTATTGTGTGTTTTGCTTGCAAATATATAATTATGTAATTGTTAATGGATAATTATAATCCTCTTGTAGCACCATACGTGTGCCTAAGTTGTAATAAATTGTCTTGTCTTAGAAAAGGACAACTACTGCTGTTTATGTTAGATTTATTTAAAGTAAGTTCCTTTGGGTAAATTTCGGTAGTATATTTAAAGAATTCTGGATTATTTAATGAAAAAATATCATCAAGATAGCGGTGGGTTTTGTTGAATGTGTCAACTTAATGTAACAATGACGTGTCTTTACTGATTTTGGCCATAAACTGTGATTCATAGCAATATGGGAATACATCTGCTATTAAAGGGGCGCAATTAGTGCCCATGGGAATACCCACTACCTGTCGATACACTTACTAGAGATAAAGGATACAACAGTTAAGTCTGCCTCATATCATGACTTACATCTAGAAATTGACAATGAGGGTCGGTTGAAAACAAAACTTTACGACAAAAGAGATGATTTCAGCTTCCCAATTGTGAACTTTCCATTTCTGTGTATTAACATTCCAGCAGCGCCTGCATACGGAGTATATATCTCCCAACTAATACGATATTCCTGGGCTTGTATTTCCTATCATGATTTCCTTGATAGAGGGTTGCTGCTCACAAGTAAGCTATTAAACCAAGAGTTCCAAATGGTGAAGTTGAAATCATCCCTTCGTAAATTTTACGGACGCCATCACGAGTTGGTTGACCGTTATGGAATATCCGTTTCACAGATGATAGCGGATATGTTCCTAATGTCGTAACTACAATCCCGTTCCCTTTTCACGAATGTGACCTACCGAATTAGACTATTTACCGGGTTTGTACTTACATGAGCAACACGACGGGTGCCACATGTGTAGCAAGATCTGCTTACCCTTCCGGAGCACATGAGATCACCCCCAGTTTATGTAGAGTTCGTGTTGCTTAGTCTTTAGTTTTCTATGTTGTGTTTTGTGTACTATTGTTTATCTGTTTGTCTTTTTCTTTTTTAGCCATGGCGTTGTCAGTTTATTTTCGATTTATGAGTTTGAATGTCCCTCTGGTATCTTTCGCTCCTCTAGATCTTTTATCGCCGAAACGTACATATATGTCGTCAGGAAAAAAGTTAAAGCTTCAATCATATCTTCACATTTCCAGTAAGTGTATCTAGCATACTTTCCTTTTTCGTTACAGAAATAGGCTTTAAACGAGTTACAGCAAATAAATTTGCAATGAGATTTAAGTTCTTTTAAAACATTGAAAAATGCTTAGTATCGGCAAACAGGAAATTTGTGTCCGATAGGTCCAAAAAGTGCTCACATTATCAACGTACGATATCTACATACGGTCAAATTATCCGTGTGTTGAAATACTTGAAAAATGCTTGTATACTATTTTATCTGCAACATAACATAGAGAACACCGCTTAAAAAGTGTCACAAAGGGAAGTAATGCTAAGCTTACAAATGATCTTACATATTAATAAATGCAAACTTTTATGTAACACGTTGAGAATAGTTATGGCGTTGGTTGTTTCTTTCAGTCTGGACATAAAACTTATTTTTTGTATGCATGTCGCAATTTAAAATATAATTTTGCATAAAATACAACATTAACTGATTCAAAAAAGCTTTCATGGTATTTATAGAAAATGAGCGAATGAGATTATTGAGTCGCGTTAAAAATTACAATGATAGAGTGCATGCCTTTCCTTTGGCGGCAAATTTATCAAAAAACAAATGCCATTGACTTCAATGCAAACTTATTTAAATTTAATATATACCTGGTAAACCGTTCTTACTCTTACTCTAGTTCGTTCAACTCCCTCAGTTTGTGTTTGTTGCCTTGGTTTGTCTGTTCTCGATTGGATTCCGAGATTTGAATGTCGGTTAACTACTGTCGCTTTTCTCAACCTTCGGAAATCAGACGCTTTGATATATCATTAAAGAAAGCACAACTCGTCGTTTGCATCAAGCAAAGCATAGGGTGATGCGGCATTTTGGATAATTCACGTGGCCTCGTTTACAAACATGGTAGATTTGCACTAAATTCTTATATTGACCCCAATTACTTTCCAATCCTGTAGTTGAAATTAAACTGCATTCCGCATTCAATTTTATAACCCTAGTTTTGATTCATCTTATAAACAAATTTACATTACAAACATTATCTACAAATCAGTGGAGTGTTTTCCAGAAAGATCTCCAATTGGGTGTTCTTTGATGATGACAAATATTCATTTACTGAGTTTAGCCTTATATTCACTATTATGTTTTATTTCTGTTGTACTCAAAGGCGATTTCCATCTTTTCGTCTTCAATTATATCAGGGGTTTAATTTGTTTGTTTGATGAATTAACTATGTATAATGCAAATAGTCAGTCGATGTTTTAGACAACTAGCTATAAGTGTCATAAACGTTGACTTCGATGAGTTAAGTACGGTTGTTTATTTGCTATTTGAATTGAATTTAAATTATTTTTTTTTGTCTTCTAACTACAGTTTTAGTATATCTGTCAGGAATGATAATACAAAAATGATCTTTTAATGAGATTTCCATGTCCGACTTGTCTGGGATCTATGTAGTTTTAAGATAATTGTAAAGGAGAAAGGATTTCGAAGCTGTCAAAGAATTAACCATCTCTAATGTGCAATTATCAAACTTAACAAATTGGCCACGCTACATTGAAATAATTACATAAATTGACAATACTTTGGTATGGGCACCAATAATTTGGAAATATAACTTACTGCAATTCTCTTTAGCTTTTTCGTCAATGGTAGAAATCTACCATTATTCTTCAGAAGCACAAATGATTTCTTAGCGGCATCTAAAGCAATCTGTCTGTAATCCTCACTCTGGACTAATGACATATCAAGATAATTGTAAGGGTTCATCCTCAAAGGATCAAACTCTCCTAGCTTCATTCTGGTGTAAAATAATGGCTTCACTGATTCTAAAACTGTTTCTTTTGACAATTTTCCAGCTTTGATTGCTTAGTCTTTCGTTTTCTATGTTGTGTTTTGTGTACTATTGTTTATCTGTTTGTCCTTTTCTTTTTTAGCCATGGCGTTGTCAGTTTATTTTCGATTTATGAGTTTGAATGTCCCTCTGGTATCTTTCGCCCCTCTTTTATCGCCGAAACGTAAATATATGAACCTTTAATTCTGACGTAACGATCCTTTTTAATTTGAATCCAAGAAGGAAGGCAGAAGACAATTGAACTAAAATATAAAACCAAATACCTGCCCTCCCAGTAAATTGATTATGCTTGTAAATATAACAAGTGTGAACACAGAGTTGTGTTGTCTGATGAGATAATTTTTGTAATGACTTGTGCAGGGGTTGATTCTGCAATTGCCATAAAACGCTTCGTTTTATAAATAGTATTATTCACTACAGATGAATAATGTAAGGGTTTTGATCCACCACCTGTGTTCCCACGGTGATCCAAATTGTTTTAATCTTATCTTCAGTTACCACAATCTGTGGTAGTCATTTATATATATATTTGACAGTACGGTTGCCATAATCAGTGATTTGCCGGTAACCTCATATTTTCAGATATACCACGGACAGTAAAATTGCCAGCGATCTGCGGCACATACATATATTGAGATTACTTATATACAATATGTATAAATTTAAATAATATTAAAGGTTGTGGCTAAATACTGCCAAGTTGTTGTTGGGTTTTAACAAGCATCTGGGATAATTGAATATCGAAGACAAAAAAGTACACGCATTCCTCCAGATAGTAGCTGTATCTATATTTCGCCCAGTTTTATGCAAGATATCATGAACATTGAAAGAGAAGAGAGGTCCATGAAGATTGCACAGACCTTGACTTGATAAACTTGGTTTTCATCAATTTAGGAATCAAAATGACACTTTGGGTCTTCCATAATGAAGATAAAACGGAAAATCTATTCTGATAAGTTCTGTATTTAAACCATGTCAACTGGTAAATTCAGTAAAAAAATATCCCGTCCACCGTAGCACAAACCTACTTCCTGAATCAAATGTATACCTTGTTTGCCTATAAAAATCGGACGCTTTCAAATATCATTCTTTAAGTACAAATGAAGCCCCATCTCAACTGTCAATAACAAGAACTCAGACTGCAGAAATTGCTAATAAACCAACATCAAAGCGATTTCTTTGTCCAAAACGGGGCAACCAAAAATGAAGTAGAAAAATGTATAAAAAATGAAACCAAAACCGACTTTGACCAAACTGTGCATTAAAAAAATTAAAGAAAAAATTTACACCATCAAAAGCAAATTTAACACAGACATCTAAGTACAAATATTTCAACTACAGTTTTATAGTTAAACTTAAAGGCTTACTTATCCTGAAAATTTTTCCGAAATATCTTTCTAATAAGAAATGCAATGAATTATGTGATAAACGTACGATATCTACATACTCAAATTATCCGTGTGTTGAAATACTTGAAAAATGTTTGTATACAACTTTATCTGCAACATAACATAGAGAACACCGCTTAAAAAGTGTCCCAAAGGGAAGTAATGCTAAGCTTACAAATGATCTTACATATTAATAAATGCAAAATTTTATGTAACACGTTGAGAAAAGTTATGGCGTTGGTTGTTTGTTTCAATCTGGACATAAAACCTATTTTTGTATAGACCCCATGCTCCCTCTCACGGTATGCTTAGTGCGTCCATGCATGTCACAATTTAATACTAGTATATAATTTTACATAAAATACAACATTAACTGATTCAAAAAAGCTTTCATGGTATTTATAGAAAATGAGCGAATGAGATTATATTGAGTCGCGTTAAAAATTACAATGAAAAAGTGCATGCCTTTCCTTTGGCGGCAAATTTATCAAATAAAATTCCATTGACTTCAATGCAAACTTACTTAAATTTAATATATACCTGGTAAACCGGTCTTACTCTTTTTGTAGTTCGTTCAACTCCCTCAGTTTGTGTTTGTTGCCTTGGTTTGTCTGTTCTCGATTGGATTCCGAGATTTGAATATCGGTTAACTACTGTCGCCTTACTCAACCTTCGGAAATCAGACGCTTTGATATATCATTAATGAAAGTACATCAAGCAAAGCATAGGGTCATGCGGCATTTTGGATAATTCACGTGGCCTCTTTTACAAACATTGTAGATTTGCTCTAAATTCTTATATTGACCCCAATTACTTTCCAATCCTGTAGTTGAAATTAAACTTCATTCCGCATTCAATTTTATAACCCTAGTTTTGATTCATCTTATAAACAAATTTACATTACAAACATTATCTACAAATCAGTGGAGTGTTTTCCAGAAAGATCTTCTCCAATTGGGTGTTCTTTGATGATGACAAATATTCATTTACTGAGTTTAGCCTACTATTCACTATTATGTTTTATTTCTGTTGTACTCAAAGGCGATTTCCACCTTTTCGTCTTCAATTATATCAGGCGTTTAATTTATTTGTTTGATGAATTAACTATGTTTTATTTAGTTACAAACATTGCAGCTGCACAATTTCAAGTCAGCAGAAAATGAAAAAAACACATTAAATAATTTCATGCGTCCGAAGCGCTTTTCTGGATTTACCTTTATTTAGGAACGCTCAAAGCCGAATATTTGAAAGCCGAGAATGTATAAGAACCGAAACAGTTGAAGAGCTATGTGACAAAAAAAAATACCTAAAACATAGTCAAATCCATCTAAGGTCAACTTTGCCTGAGGGAGTTGAAAAAAGTAAAATCAAAAGCTCAAGACATCAAACGAATGGATAACAACTGTAATATTCCTGACTTGGTACAGGCATTTTCTTATGTAAAAAATGGTGGATTAAACCTTAGTTACTTTATAATTTCAAAATTTATAAACGGACAATTTAAAAAAAGTTTGTTATAAATAATGTCAGAAGAATCTGTTGGAGTTTGCTCTAATTCTGTAAAGCCGTCTTCAAGGAGTTTGGAATTCAAAAAGCGGACGATGATGTAAGACAATACAACTAGTGCCATCTAAACACTGTCAGACAACAAAACAAATAATAGAAATAATAATACTCAACAATCTCTTATCTATCTCCATTCAATCTGATTAAAATAAAGATCATGTGTCCACGCTTCGTTTACAAGGATCTGAAAACACTCCATTCTTCTTTCTGTTTAAACAAATTTTCGGATCCTCAGGGTTTCTCGTAATGATACACACCTTCAAAAAATTAGAGGCAGACATACATTGGTAGATCTAAACGTGTTTAGAACAGAAAGTAGAACGGAGTGTTGTCAGAACATTGTAAGCGAAGCGAGGACACAGGATATGTAGTCCAATCAGATTGATCTCTATTTAAATTTGAGAATTTTCCGATTATGATTTTTTTCGTTGACAAGTCAAATCTTGTATATTCTGTATACTTGTATATTCTGTATGAAAACCAAATCAAATATTGATTGCCATTAGTTGTACCCACTTTCAACTAAAACATTTCATGAACAAAAAAGAAGCATTAAAATACAGGTTGGAAATATACTTAAAGAATAACTTAAATAAATAAAAGATGTTTATTATATTGGATAAATGAATGAGAATTGGATCACATTTCCATCCATTAGTAATTTTCAAATTATATGTAAATCAATCTATATTCTATAAAACAAAAGTTGTTTAACAAATTCATATGCTACGAATGCTTTGGCATCTCACTGTATTTATTAAGGACTTTTCTGTCTATTATAGTGAATTGCCTGATAAGTATATTTGAAGATGTAACTCGAGATTGTCCAGGTTGCTGTCCGCCTATAAATAATTGTATCTTTCCTGAAAAAGAAATAAAATACTTTTTTCTTACACACTTTTCTACATTAATATGCATAACTGTAACCTATACTTGTGAAGTATATCGCCACAAATTCAGTATTGAACAGATTGCATCAGAGAAAAAATGAAATACCATTTTATATAGCTTAACATAAGGTTTATATTTTTTGCTCAAGTATTGAAAATATCTATACGTATAAAAAAAAAAGAAAAAAAAACAACAGCTTTAAAAGGGGTTTGGAACAATTCATATTTTTCAAGCCAAACACTTTCAGACAGAAATGATTACACACAATAGTTAATGCATATAATATAAACAAAGTACATTGAAGCACATTCAGTTTATAAATTGCCTTTTAATATACACATTTGAACGTTTCAAAGACAAAACAAAACATACAAGAACCTTGCAAATGATCTTTGTATTTCTATTATTCTTTAGCATTATAGCAATATCAAACAAAATAAGAAATACCTGGTTCAATAACAAATCCTTCCTTGTCATCCCACACAGCCATAGATTCAGGTGATATATATAACAGAAAATTCAACACCTGTTTTGGTTCAAGATGTACTCTCCTGAATGACACTAACTGAATATTTGGCATCTCTTGTGTGATGTTTGTCCATTTAAGGTAAATCTGTACTATCTGTAACAACAAGACTCAAACAAAAACAATGTCTGTTCGTTGTGTCCATACCCATAACGTTACTACAGTCAGTAGTATAATGTAAATCTATCTTTCTTATTTATTTCTTAGAGTGTTTGCAAATTACCCATAGATCTATGAAAATGTTTTTTTTTTATGATACACTAATTGCGTTTGCATGCAAAGTTCAATGGTGTTGTAATATATAAAAAGGAATAAAAGGATCACTCGGCTCCTTTGAAAAAAAAAGAAAATCAAACATGACATATGACGACAGAAGTAAATCCTGTTGCATCAACAAGATTTCCGTGGAATATAAAATCACTTATGTGATATACAAGTAAATGATCCGTTCTCTTTCTTGTAGAAGCGTTATAGTGGTTTTTATATTGCCAACTGTATATATATGTTGTGTGGGTCAAGATCTAAAAGAAGGTTTCTGTCAAATCTATTTTCTCGTGTTTTCTCAATTCATTGATAGACATATCTTGATACACAGAAATTGAAACATGTTTAGCATGTTCCTATTGTTTAAGTATAAGAATACTATACAGAGTATAAGTATACTTTAATTATGTTTACCTCATCTCCGGCATATGGACCATTATTGCCAACTTCAATTCTAATCCCTTGTTTGGTTCCAGCTGTGATAGATGGTTTCATCCATGCGTTGTAATAATAAAATTTGGAATATGATAATCCATAGCCGAATGGATATAGCGGTTTTCCTGTAAAATATCGGTAGGTTCTCTTGGACATGGAATAATCTGTCATTGATGGAATCTGAAATATTACATCTATATGGATTCAAATATTGGAGTGCTGTGAACTTCATTATCCCATAAACAAAACTACGACAATATAAGGAATTCACGAGATGTTTAGTTTCAAATCTACTTTGAAGTTGATTTAACACTTATAAATTAGCTTCATTACTCATCATTTATTGAATCTGTATTGCCATCACTATTAAAAGAGAATGAGGAGATACCAAAAGTGTAATGTCATAAAAGTTTTTCGTACACGTGATTACAGAGGGTTTCTGCGAGCTCTGTACCATTTCATGTCCTTTGTGCAGAATTGTTAAAACTGTTTTAAATCATGAATTACCTAGCAGCAAGTTCATACTTTATCCTTCTTTCTTTTAATATGTTTTGTTTTTAAAACAGTAGCTTGGTCACTATTGATGCCCGCAAAGTTGAAATATAAAGTTAAAGTTTATCAAATAACAAATATGTGGACGATGTGAATTAATAATAAAATAACCTGGTTCTTATACATATACCACGTAAATGGCAGCCTTCCTGCAGGATTGGAGTTGTTTCCACTGTTGGTTAAAACCTGTTTAATGGCCTCACCAGTCGCTTGAGCAGGAAAAAAGCATTCCATAATGGAATAAATACGCGGATGTTCATCCATCCAAGTTATATTTAATGGACCAGCATTGAATAGCAAAAGTACAATTGGACTTGATCCTAAAGAAAAATAGAACTAAAAATCTTAACTTAGATGTACTAGCGTTCCATCAACTTAATGTACATGTTGAAAATTAGGAATTCCTACAGTTTGAAATCACATTTATTTCAGATGGTGTATGTTTGTGTTTAGGTAAGGGATGTTGCCGGATGGAATGGTCTGTTGCACTGTCCAGTTGTTTTGGTACTTCATGTTATTATTTTAATGTATTTCTATTAATACTGTTGGTCAATAGGTCTACATATGTACATTGGCATTGTATGCTTTTCTGCAAATAATGTGGCATCCGTTACTAAATTTAATGGTCCTCTTTAAACTGAAAATAGATACTTTATATTTGTAAATTATATACACACTGGAATAAACTTGCTATTCATTGGCTGTTGTGACATTCTTATAAATGACATCATTTCTTATTCAATTACCAGAAAATCGAATGGCGTCTTTAACAATTTGAGACTGATTGACCGGAAGCTCCATGGACCTTCTGTCGTTATCTTCACTTTCTATTTCTTGTCCTGCAATAAAAGGTGTTGATAAACAAGACGAATTTATCTCAATATTCTTTTAACACGTTACATTATTTTAATATACAAAGTTAAATATAATACATAAATGCAAAAACCAACCTGTTCCGAGACAAATAAATATGACATCAACATTTTGCACTGCTGAGTTTATTGCTGAACTGCTGTAATGGGTGCACCTGTTGTCTTTACATCCGGCTGTGAAGTTAGTGACATCTGCCAACTGCTTCAGACCACCCAATGGAGTTGTGGTATACATTGGCATAACATCTGGGTTGTAGTTACCGAACTGCTGGTTTATATTATTTGCCATGGGTCCTAAAACCTAATTACAAAACAACAAACATCTTTTGACCATCAATTCAATCATGTCAAATAATGCAGTCAGTCGATGTTTTAGACAACTAGCTATAAGTGTCATATTCGTTGACTTCGATGAGTTAAGTACGGTTGTTTATTTTGCTATTTGAATTGAAATTATTTTTTTGTCTAACTACAAAACATCTGAAACTAAATTTGTTTTGGTATATCTGAATGATGATACATAAATGATCTTTTAATGAGATTTCCATGTCCGACTTGTCTGAGATCTTTTTAGTTTTAAGATAATAGTTAAGGAGAAAAGATTTTGAAGCTGTCAAAGAATCAACTATCTCTAATGTGCAAGAATCAAACTTAACAAATTGGCCACGCTATATTGAAATAATTACATGGAAACTGAAAATACTCTGGTATGGGAATAAATAATTTGGAAATATGACTTACTGCAATTCTCTTTCGCATTTTCGTCAGTGGTAGAAAGCTACCATTATTCTTCAGAAGTACAAACGATTTCTTAGCGGCATCTAAAGCAATCTGTCTGTGATCCTCACTCTGCACTAATGACATATCAAGATAGTTGTAAGGATTCATTCTCAAAGGATCAAATTCTCCAAGCTTCATTCTGGTGTAAAATAATGGCTTCACTGATTCTAAAACTGTTTCTTTTGACAATTTTCCAGCTTTGATTGCATCAACTGATCAAAATAAAATTGTACTAGTATATAAATCCCAGTTTTCGATATCGCAGAAAAACACGAAAATCATCTATTGCCAAACTTTCTACACAGTTGGGATAATTTCATACTAGACAGAAAATTAGCAAGATGTGTGATAACAGTGAAAGACAAATACATGTTTAAGACCTATTGAAAACCAAAATGAACTTGTTTTAATGTTTATTTGAAGGTCTCTTTATATCGGGACAAAAGTACCAACGAATTAGCTAGACATGTACTTTTACATCAAGATGGGATCACGGTCTGCTTCAAATAGAGTGTTGTAAATTGGAAAATTGCTGCGCACTTGTAATAGGAAATTCTAATTGTTCAAGAAGTTCTTCCCCTTAATGAATTCTTATAAAAACTGAGAGGAGTTATCAAGGGGCACTCAAAAATCATTGGTCTAATAAAAACAGATAACACCATGCTCAAAAATCATTGGTCTAATAAAATCAGACAACACCATGGTCAAAAATCATTGGTCTAATAAAATCAGACAACATCATGGCATAAAAGGAAACCGTCGAATGGACAAACGATAACAGAACATTAAACAGAAAACTAACACGAACCTCAATAAAAAAAACCGGAAGTGAACTCAGGCGCTAGGAAGAGTTAGCAGTCCCTACACCACATATGACATCGGTGGTGTTGCTCATGCAAGTAACAATTAGGTGATGAGTCGGATCAGTTAATGTCACAATCGAAGAACAGATGATGGAATTGTGGACAGGTCAGTGGTAATATGTGACAAAAACATTCCTTAATGGTGAACCAAATCATGATGGCGTTCCTGCAACTTTCGAAGGGATGACCTTAACTTTACCGTTTGGAACTCTTGATGCAATAGCTTCCTAACTTACTTGTAAGTACTAAAATAGAGGCGGAATATACTAATATGATACTCAAACTCATCAGTTGAAACCAGACTGACAACGTCATGGTAAAAAACGAAAAACGACCACCAGACTATTAAACAACATTCTACAAAACACAACATAGAAAACTTAAGACTGAGCAACACAAACCCCACCAAAGACCAGGGGTGATCTCAGGTGCTCCGGAATGGTATGCAGATCCTGCTCCACATGTGGCACCTGTAGTGTTGCCCATGAAAGTAAAAATTAGGTAGATCAGTAAGTAAAGAGGACGGGATTGTGGTAACGACAATTGGAACATATCCGTCCTCATCTATGAAACAAATATCCCAAACGGCCAACCAACTCGTGATGACTTCCGAAATACTCTATCAACGAAATCATGAAAAAGATACCACGCAAGCCCTTGAACAGCATATCAACTGGGAAATATATACCCCATATGAAGCTGCCAGTGGAATGTTGCAACAAAGAAACATAAAGTTCATAATGAGAAAAATTGAAATCCTCGCGTTCGTCGTGAAGATTAGTTCTCAACCGACCTTCATTGAAAATTGCTAGATGTAAGGATATTAGGCATACTTTACTGTATGTTTTTGTTTTGTTATTTCAAGTTCAATGCGATAAATGCAGGCAATATAGCCACCGAACTTTGAATCATTCAGTGAATGGACATCATCTATAACGGAAAGTGAAGTTAAAGGATACTTTAAATATCAGTGTTGTATTTTCATAGAAAAAAAATCTTACGCATAGAAAAATAGATAGGTTTCTCCAAGTTGGTTGACAATTCCAAGTTACACCCTGCATTTACACACAAAGCTACTGTGTCTATAGAGTTATTGGTGTAGTGGTGATAGTCTATGATGTTCTCTATAGCAGCCTGGTCACTCACCACGTAACCTGTAAATCCAAGCTCTTTACGGAGGATATCTGTCAGGAGTTTTCTGTTACCACATGCTGGCACCCCATTTATCCTTCAATATGACTGTATTCTTATAACATTGCATTTAGTTACACATTAAAATGTCATCATTTGGTAAATGATTTATAAATAAAAAGAGTTTTGGCATATAAATTATATAATCCAACAACACAATAAAAAAAAACATCTTGAGGTGAACATACGGTCCCACAGGAATAATGCCTTAGAGTATGTCAAGCTCAAAGTTGTTCCGTGTAGTGAATAATCTTAAAAGGGACAATAATATTTAATTCTCCCCAATGGACAGAAAACACCAAGGTATAATCACAGAAATTTGACTTTTCCTTTCATGAGATACCAAGCCTATTCCTTCAAATTACATTTTAAACAATTTTTTGTCGTTTTAATAAGCTTTAAGCAAACCTTTCGTCATAAGTTTATTTTTCAGCAAACTATGGCTTATTCATCTATACCTATTGAAGCTACACATGAAACTGTAAGTTCCAGCTTCCACACACTTTTTAAAAGCAGGTAGAAATGTCAATCTCCAATCCCTTTCCGTCACCTGTAAAGATAGATAAATATAATAAGTAACTTAATCAAAAGATTAGGATAATGATGATATATTCACAAAAATACATTAAGAAATCTTAACAATTCCACATCGCATTAATATAATTTTTTTTATTGCAAAATAGATATATTAGCAAACCTTTGCGTCAAATGAGAATCTAGATACAGGAATATTTTCCGGTCCCCCATGGACATCCAGGTGTTTACAGCCAGCATTAGTTCTGACATAACGTGGATTTCTTCCTTGTAATCCCTGGACAAAACTATAAGCTAGAGTTCCTGACAGGAGGGGATCTTCTCCATATGTCTCCTGAATTATGAACCAATAATTATAAGAAAAATATAAGCTTTTTTTTTAAATATAGCATTTTCATAATAAAATCAGTGATACGTGATAGATCTAAATAGAGTCTAGCACTCATGTTATTAACTACTGTGAAAACAAATACGCAATCGCCTTGACTGCTAATGTATCTGGTAGTAAAATCCATGTTTGGGGCGTTCATATGCATGTCCGTTACAGGAAGCCGATGTCTCCTGTAGGGAACACACTCTCTAAACGATACAGAACCCTAGTAAAAACTCTTTGATTCTTTTTGGGCCATGTTATGGTATGTTGGTCGGTAAAATTCTGCTCTATCCAACTGACACTTCTTTTTAGCAATGGGACTTTTAATACACATCTTTCGACCCACTTTGCAGAACATATCTGGTAGATTCATTGTTAATTTCTTCCCGTCCCTAATATAAATGTAACATTTGCCACTGTACATAGAACAAAGTACAAATATTTAACCTATCACAGAATTTAGCTATTAGAAATGCACTCTTATACAAGACCACCATTTAATTGAATTGTTTAAGCAGTAAAGACTAAACTTTTTCTATGTTATATATTAATATGATTTTAATGTCACCACGGAATGTAGTTAATTTAAAACAATTAAAGGAATGAAAAGTTGACAACGAAAAGATTTTTTTTTACTAATACAAGGTCTAAACTTAAAAAGACATGTGGTACACTATTAGTCAAACTATGATAATGAATTGATGTTCAGTGTCCAATGGCAAATATTACATGCATAACGAGACGAAAACATGTTAATTTGATATTGAAATAAAGCCTGCTTTGTACATGACCGACACGCTTTGTCGGAATTTTAACGTGCTCGTTATCAAGATTAAACAGAGGCATGTCATCCTATCATTATTCTTACTCCGGGTCGATCAGTCTCCTCTTCAAATGTTGCGTGCGTACTTACCATATACACAGAAAAAAGTAATTATCAAGACTTTGGTAAATTCAGTCGGGTATCGAATCTACGACCTTACTAAGAAACTTACCTGATTCCGTCCCCATAGTGGATGTCTCATAATATTAACTACAGGACTAAAACAACTGATTCCCTTGTGGTCACCATAATGTTTATTTTCTCGAAAGAAGTTATATTTAGCTCTAACTTCTATACTTGTAGCTTCAGCAACGTTGTGGATTACGTCTGTGCTACATGCAAATAAAAATTCAAACTTGTAAAGAAACATAAATGTACTAGTCTTAAATGAATAATACAAAATTACAAAACAATTAAAATACACGTACATTGTTGAGTGACAGTTATATGTAATATAATATATTGCAACATACCAGTTAAATTAGAATTAGCTAATCCAAGTCTGACTAGTACATGCGTTACAAAGTATTAGTTGTTTTCTAAACAGAAAAGAGAATGAGCGTCCACTCTATTTTCTATTTCTAAACACTTCTTACATATTTCTTTTAATATCGCGGACATACCTCCATGTAGCAGCTAATCCTAACGCCTGTGGAAAAGCCGTGGCATTACCAGAATTCCCATCTCCACGAAGACATTCGGTATTCCAACTCCAAGGATCAATCTTAAGTCTAGGTATAGCTGGTGCTGGACCACCATGGGGTCCGGACCCACCTCTACTCATCTGCACCATTATTTCTTCTATTGTGAGTCGGTTGATAAGATCGTTGACTCTGTCATGCCATGACAATGAGGTATTCCGAAATGGAAGTTCTCCGGCGGTAACTAAAGCAAGCGTTGTTACAAACAATAACAAAATATCCTCCATTATGAAAAATGTATAATCACATGATAATGAATTGATGAACAAAAGAAATGTGTAGGTGTCAAAATAAATGTCATTTCAGTTTAATACGAGTCAAGATCATCAATTATAAAACATTGTCACACATAAAACAATCATTTTGTTTTTATCCTACTTTACGGAAATTTTAATTTGTCTACTGACTAGATTTGTATATTGTGTGGAATTATATATTTTCGTTTCAAATGTTTCCTACTGGTTTGAATAGAATATTTCAGTCAATTTCCTTGATTATGTGGACTCTATTCTTTTGGCATCGTACCTCTTTACTTCTATGAAAGTAGGATTTGCTCTCTGCCAATTTCTCCTTCAATAGATTCCCTGTTATGAATTCTATGCGAAAGCCTACAGCTAGTTTTCAAATTTTTCTGATTACCAATGTAGAATTTGATCATGGATATAAAGCAATGTGTATGTGATATATATAATGGCTTTGCTCCTTCTTTTGAAAATCGTATGGGGTTCCGCGTAACCATGTGTCTCGCCTACGATTGCTGCTGTCAGTGTTTAAGTGTAATGTTGACTTAAAAAGTGAGTCCATTTATCAGTAAGATACAGAATTAAAAAAAATATTCAAACTTTTTCTTTAGATGCTATTTCTTGGTCTTGAAGATAAGCTTCTGTCCAAGTTTCATAACAATCCATGAAGGTTTACAAACTTATCATGTCAAAAAATTTAATCCCAGACTGTCTGTAAATGTTAACTGTAAAAAACTGAGTCCATCTATCAGAAAAATACTGAAAATGAAAGTATATTTTCAAAAGTTTGCTTCAGACATTATCTCTTAATCATAAAAAAAAGCTTATGCCAAAGTTTCATAAAATACTACAAAGTATTCGATGTGCAACAAACTTTAACCCCAGACTATATCTACTTGTTAACAGTTACTGTAAAAAAACTAAGTCAATTTATCAGTAAAATATGGAAAAATGAAGAATGTCTGGATACTGTTATTTAGTCATTAACAAGCTTCTGTTCAATTTTCATAAAATTCCATGAAGCCAAGGTTTGACAAAGTTAGTGATGACTGAAAAATTTCAACCTCAGACTGAATCTGAATGTTAAGTGTAAAGAAAAAACAAGTCCATTTATCAGTAAAATATCGAAAAATGAAAATAAATATTTTCAAAATTTTGCTCTGAATACTGTATTCTGGTCATAAAGAAGCTTCTGTCCAAATTCCATAAAAATCCACGAAGGTCTGACAAAGTCATTGATGTATAAAAAAAACTTTAACCACAGACTGAACCTAAATGTTGAAGCCGACAACGTAATCTAGGATCGCTATGTCTCGCTTTCGCGACATAAATGTCGCAGACTCGACAATAAACTGCTTTGCTGAGCGCAGCTGGATACGCCCGCAGAGGTCCAACCCTGAACAGTTGGGACAAAAATGGACACAATATTCAAGCTTGATACAGGTCTGAATTTGGATTGTATTAAATATTTGACATATTATAGGTTTCTGAATAAATGTAGTCAAAGAACTTGAAATTGGGTATATGAATTGAATTTATATTCAATTAAAGATTTCTTGATGTTGTGCAATACACTGTGCTGTTGCGCAATACTTAGTAAATCTGTTGTCAGACTATAAACAAATAAAGTTCAATTAATTCTCAATGTCATATTAGAAATTTATGAAAATGTAAAGGGAGCTTACATCAATAGATATGAACAATTCACCAAAGTTTCATGAGATTTGCTGACAGCATTTTTGAGTTATTGTCCGAAAACTGGAAAACCCCACAACTCAGAAACGTAAAATGTAAAATTTATAAAATTCTAAACAGAGCTTACATCAATAGATATAAACAATTCACCAAAGTTTCATACAAACTGCTGAAAGCATTTTTGATTTTTTGTCCGAAAACTGGAAAATCCCCCTTTTTTTATGAATAAAACCCTGTAACTCGGAAACGTAAAATCTAAAATATATAAAAATCGAAAGGGAGCTCATGTCAATAGATATAAACAATTCACCACAATTTCTTGCAAGTTGGTGAAAGCATTCTTGAGTTATTGTCCGAAAACAGGAAAATCCCCCTTTTTTTAATGAATAAAACCCCATAACTCGGAAACGTAAAATCTAAAATTTATAAAAAATGAAAGGGAGCTCACGTCAATAGATATAAACAATTCAACAAAGTTTTATGCAAATTGGTTAAAGCGTTTTTGAGTTAATGTCCGACATGTTGACGACGGACGGACAGACGGACGGACGGACGGACGGACGGACAGACGGACAACGGTAAACCATAATACATCCCGTAAACGGGCGTATGAAAAATTTCGAATGGTTCCATTTCTATAATATAAGGTCGAAACTATGTTTAACCTATACACAATTACTTAAACAACGTGGTCTTGGGTGTATTTCAAATAATCCAAAGGTTTTTAGCCTAATACTGCCATAAAGACTTATTTCGAGCAAGCTTGGAGTCATGTTTTTTTTTCCACTCAATACCTTGATTATGGGAAATACAAGACTATAAGAAGTCGATCTATAAAAAAAATTAAGATAACCTAACTATAAGTTGTTGATCATTTAAGCTGTTCGTTTTCTCTATATCTACATATCTACTATATAGTTCTAAAGCTAATAGTCAAAACGCACAAATAGGTAAAATTTGTCATCTAAGGCCAGAAACTCCTATAAAGATTTGACAGTTTCAGTTATGTTGACTTATTACAGATCAATTTTTACAGGGAACAGTCTGTTTTCTTATCCTATTATAGTTATCAAAATAGCCATAAAAAATGCAAATATTATTTTGGTGATCATTTTTGTTGCTTAGTCTCCTTCTATCCACCCCGGCACTGAAACATCAATTGATACCAGATCCCATCATATTTTTCGCCCAAAACACCTAAGTATCGGTTTTTACCGTCATATGAGGGCAATAAATGCAATGAGGTGACAATTACTTATTTCTGTCATGTTGAGGCATTTGTAGATCATCAGTTTGCTTTTCAAGTTTCTGATGAATCGTTTTACTTTTCAAGATAATAACCAAAAAAATCCAGAAACCAAATGTTAAAATCGTCATCTTATGGCAATATCTCTTAGTTGACTGTTAGCAATTTGATTTTATTCCTAGGTGTTGCCTTGCTGATCATTTTATCTCTTAAAGTTTCTCTCAATCGCTCTGTTTTCACCAAAAAGGTTGAAACAAAAGCATTCAAGTGGAACAGCTCCTATTTGACTGACAATTCGGTTATATAATTTTTTGGAGATTTTGTCTTGCTGTCATTTTCTGCTGGTGTGTTTCTTTATATCCATTGTGGTTTTGAAGATTACAGCTAGCACACAAAAATGATAAAAAAAATCAACATGTAAGGGCACTAACTCCTATAAGAAATAAATTGGAATTTCAATCGTTTTGATTTATTTGTCTTGCTAGTCATTTTTTTATCCATAAAAGTTCAAGGATATAGCAAAAAATTCTGAAATTTGGTAAAAAATTTATATCAAGGGGCAGTATCTCCAAAACCGATTTCTGATTTTTCTTATAATTTCAGGGTAGATACATCTTGATCTACTAATCATTTAGATAGTCAATTGTTCTTACTGTTTAGGTTTTGGAGATACTAGCCAAAACCGAAATTTTACCTCTATGTTCCATTGTCACGTAGTAGCCATGTTTGTAATCTGATAGGAACAAAATGAGGATCGTTGTACAGGACATGCCATACATTATTAATGTTAAACTTAAAAGTATTTGGCATTGTGTTTTCAAAAGGGGAACAATGTACAATGGATGCAAATTGATGGCATAAGCTCACATGGCCCTCAAGAGCCAGGTGAGGCATATATCATAAAAGTACAGATAGAAAAGCTACTGAAACAATCAGTTAATTACAATTTCTTCTTACAACAATAGTATTGACTAATAATAAAATAATTTGCTAAATAAAGAGAGGTGAAAAGTAATCAATAAGGTTTCTGTTTGACATACTGGCACAATGCTAGAAATCATTTTACTTTGAATCATGTCAAGTCAAAATTAAATGGTTTTTCACAACTTTATTGCCAGAATATAGAATAATCTTACAGTTCATCTTGAAAGATTTGAGTATTCTTTAATAGACTGATTATATGTTATATTGATTGATTGATTATTGGTTACTTAACATCCAGTGGCAAATAGTTCATGCATGATAAGGACGAGATTATATGTTATAAAGTTTACCCAATGCTTGGAACCACTAAACACAGACTGAGTTGTAATTTAACACATTTGATATTTGTTGTTCCAGAGTCTTCAATGATGAACTTAGACAATTTGCAAGAACTTAAACTTAAACACTTACTCCAATTGTTGTTGCAAATAAAATAATTTGCTGAACCCTGATGTCTATTGTATGCTGGAACATTCTTGTGCAAAGGCATGTTCTTTTCCTTGTTTATCAAAAAGTCAAGGTACAACAAAAGACCTGAAGAGTTAAAACTCATAAATTGTTGACACAGAGATATGTCTTTCCTGTATGTAATTTTTATAGTAAAATGCACATGTTGAAATTAAAATGACTATTTTGAAATATAAAATATTCAAAATCCATGAACTATGACTGAAGGCACAGGGCCAAATAATTTTCTTAGAAATAAGATATGCCAATTCTAATGCAACTGCAAACAAATATCATTGACTTTAATATCATAAGTGGTTCCCTTAAACTGACCTATAAATCACAAACTTTAACATGTTAACTATATGCTACAGTTTCAAAGCCAATCCCCCAAAACTGAGGGCGCTGGGCCAAATAATCTCCATGGAAATAAAATGTACCAACGCTTATTCAACTGCACACCATATCATTCATTGACTTATCATAAGTGGTTCCCCTTAAACTGGCACTTGTTTGAAAGTCTCTAGACCATGATTGAGGGGGTGATGCCAAATAATCTCTAGGGAAATGAGATGTGACAATGCTTATCCAACTGGTACCAAATATTGTTGACTTATCATAAGTTGTTCCCCTTGAACTGACCTAATCACAAACATTAACAAATTGCTGCCATCACCAATGACGTCACCAGAAACCGCATACCTAAGTCACATATTTTGACTCTATCAAGGCAAGGAGAGACAAAAACTAATGTTTTTTATTAATCTTAATATATATGAATAATCAAGTAAATAATTTCATCTTCATCAGTTTATTTGTTATAAAAAATATTCATTTAATAATTCATAACAAAAAATAAGATAAATCATCATTAACAAGATATGATTTCAGAATCTGAAGGACTGTAATTAATGTTGTTTGAACAAAATGAATACAAGATTTAATCATTGGATGATTATCTATTTTTTAGGGAGCTGCTGTTCTATTCAGAACTTTTTAATGTTTCGCTCATGAAAATATTACCCAGAATGCTTCAGAATCTGAAATGGCAAATTACAGGAATTATCACATAATAAACAGAGATCACTATAAAAGTTTAACAATAGAATAATTAAATAATCTTTAGTGAAAACTCTCACATACCACATACCCTCATATAAATTATGATTCGAAACAGCAATTTTGTAATGCAAAAACCTTTTTCAAGTAATTTAGACCTTGACCTGAGACAAACTGACTTGAAAATCAATAGGGATCTTCCTTTTCATCTTCTTATTATATGTGTTAGATTGCAATCCCATACATGCATCCTTAACCACTTTTTGCACAAATTTCTGTCATTTCTTTGTAGCTAGATTAACCTTCATATGTCTCTTGTATTCTGTGACACCTGTCACGGGTGAGACAAAAAATTGCACTTATCTTTACATTCATGATAAGGATTCATGCAAAGAAGAGAAAATATATGACAGCAAATAAATATTTGATTATTTTGTTCCAATCTGATATAAATAATTTGAGTTAGCATCATGAAACGAAAAAGACTGACAGACTGTCAGATAGGTCAAAAACTTTATAACCCACTACTACTTGGTATGCTAAAGTATGTCTATACAAGACTAGACCAGGTGGGATTGTGAGCATCTTTGACTAATTATGACTGGATGTTGTGTAATAATCTGCTGAATCAAGATTTTATTGCAAGTATCACAAATGCTTAACATTGCCCAATGAATAGAGCAAATAAAGACAAGATCAGGTGAAGCCTGTCATCCAATGAACTTATCTTACAAACATTTAATACACCAAATATGGTTGACTCATACTTATAGAATCTGAGAAACAGGTCAAATCACAAAAACTCCACGAAATGAGGTAAAGAGGTCAGGTGAACACTGTTTGGCAGACATGTATATACCGGTAGTTTGAAATGATTCTATATTAAATATAGTTGACCTATTACTCATCATAATTAAAAGGATAACAAGACAAATCATCTAATACAGTATATTTATGTAGTCACCAAACCCTAAAAATCCTTATGTCTTGTATTCCACAACTTTATGGCAGGCAAGACAACATAATACTTTAAAAAATATAAAAAAATCCCCTCTATATCAAATCCATCATTTTAGTGTCTTGCTTCCACAATTTTAAATGTAGCAGTGAGAACATTTGAAGGCACTGTCTTCTTCTGGTTGGGTAGCTGTCCACCAACATATACTTGTATAGAGCCTGTAAGTATAAAAAAAGACCTTATTTTAGAAGTTATAAGACAATGTGTATATTGTCATAAATGTATGCAACTTTTAACTTTGATCTAATATATTAGATATATATATTTGATAAAAACAATTTCTGTTCATTATGTTTCAGATATTATCTGCCTTAAAATAATGTCAAGCAGAAGGATGTAACTAAAACATCTTATAAAATTCAGCTTATTTCCATCCTTGAATCTGAACACTGGTTTATGTTTATATTTAATTTCAATTTAATTATTGTATTTCCAGTCTATGGAAGAAGCGAATCAATAAAAATGTTTCTTATATGAAATAGCGATATTGTCTAATATGAAATTGTAAATATGCACACACTCCATGTGGAAAAAGTAGTTTTTGGCAATGAAAAATATGTTTCATATTTTTAAAAATCATTCAATAAGTCTGGATTATATAACACGTCGAATGGAAGTTTTATAATAAATCACTAGAGCTTAAAATCGACAATACCCTGCTTTTCAAGGTCGTTTTGATGGGAAAAAATCAAGTGCACCAGTTCAACAAGAATTGAGGTAAGATTTTGTTAAGAAAATATCAATTTTAAAACATATTGTTCAAATACAAACAACAATTGAGTCTAAATATATATTCAATAGTTAGTTAAAAGCAAAAGTTTATGTCTGTGTAAAATTTGAAGTGCTGTGTTTTTCTTATGTACATAAATAAACAAATACTATAAATTCTAATATGGATGCGGTACTTTTAAAATATGATAGCAGTATTTTTTTAATGTCACTATAAGTAACATTGTATGTTAATAAGCAGTTTTAAGGTCACTGCTAAACGTCAAAATGTTTTTGGTAGCATCTTTCCAATTTCTTTTAAATTGGTTTTTGAAGCAAAATTAATCAAATTAAGGTTTTATAAACATCGTCGTAATTAAATAGCCAACTATCAAAATAATTGTTCACATATGTTACATCTATTAAATTTCTTTATGAACGCATCAAAACAATACATATCCGATATTCTCCCTACACGTATGGAAGCTTTTATGATTAATTTTTTTAATTTACAGGTCCTGGAAGTCTTTCTGTCTACAACTCAAGCTAATTTAAAATACAACTGTTTTTACGCTTGCAACAACACAATTTGAATTGCCATCATTAAAAACATTTACTTTTAGCAAAGTCCGAATAGATATTAAATCCGTCAATTCAGTAGATAGTCGCTCTTTTGGATTGGAAAACGTTGGAAAGTTTTCATAGCCAAAACAATTTACGTCTCCAAACTTTCCTCCTGTGTTCAGTTTTTTCAAGTCTATACTCAATTTATATGGACTATTGGAGTGTTTTCGTTTCTTGGCTATTGTTTGTATTTGTGGTAACATAATGCCTGGTTGTTTAGAACACTCTTTTATGTCAAAATCGACAGAATCAAGACTTTCTTTACTGGGAACAACTAGAGGCTCTAAAGAGCCTGTGTCGCTCACCTTGGTCTATGTGCATATTCAACAAAGGACACTCTCCAACATTGTAGACAGAAATAGAATTCATGAAAAAATCTGTTTTTTTTATCTTGTATGGCTGATAATTTAGCCTATTTAGTTTCTCTCTATCTTCTTTAAATTTTTGCTCAAAACACAAAAGAGGATAAAAAAAATCCTCATTTAAGGGCAATCACTCCTATAAAGAGTGACAGTCTACTAAACTATATCGGCAAAATTTGACTTGTTAGTAGATCTTGACTTGGTGATCATTTTTGTGATTTAAAGTGTATCTATTATAATTTTCTATCATATATGGCAAAATGCAAAAAAAAAAGTGAAAATCGTCTTTAAAGGGCAATAACTCCAGTAAGGAGTTGTCTGACCATTTCCTCCATATTGTCATCATTGTAGATTTTGTTTTGCTGATCATTTTTGCCTAGCTAAGTTTCTATCTGTCTATCATAATTTTAAGATATAAGGCAAAAACACAAAAAATTGGTCAAAATCATCATCAAAGGGCAATAACTCTAATAAGGAGTCGATTGACCATTTCAACCATGTTGACCTAATTGTAGAACTTGTCTTGCTGATCATTTTAAAGTTTCTCTGTATCTATTATAATTTTCAAGATAGTAAGCAAAAATGAAAAAAAATGGTAAAATTTGTCATTTAAGGGCAATAACTCCTATAAGAAGTCATCTGACAGTTTTGAAATGTACAGACAATTGGTAGAGCTCAACATTCTGAACATTTTTGCTCTCGTCAGATTTTCTCTCTTTATAATGGTTTTCAAAATAATAGACAAAACTTGCATCTTATCCCCTATGTTCTATTTTTAGCCATGTAGGCCATGTTGGTTGGCAGGTGGGGTCATCGGACATATTTTTTTAACTAGATACCCCAATGATGATTGTGGCCAAATGTGATTAAATTTGGCAAAGTAGTTTCAAAGGAGAAGATTTTTGTAAAAGATTACAAAAATTTACGAAAAAATTGTTAAAAATTGACTATAAATGGCAATAACTCCGTAAGGGGTCAATTGGTAATTTTGGTCATGCTAACTTATTTGTAGATCTTACTTTGCTGAACATTATTGCTGTTTACAGTTTATCTTTATCTATAATAATATTCAAGATAATAACCAAAAACAGCAAAATTTACTTAAAATTACCAATTCAGGGGCAGCAACCCAACAACTGATTGTCTGATTCGTCTGAAAGTTTCAAGGCAAATAGATCTAAGCCTGTTGAACATTTTATCCTATGTCAGATTTGCTCTAAATGCTTTAGTTTCAGAGATATAAGCCAAAAACTGCATTTTACCCCCTATGTTCTATTTTTAGCCATGTTGTCCATCTTGGTTGCAAGGCAGGGTCATCAGACACATTTTTTAAACTAGATACCCCAATGATGATTGTGGCCAAGTTTGGTTAAATTTAACCCAGTAGTTTCAGAGGAGAAGATTTTTGTAAAAGATTACAAAAATTTACGAACAATTGTAAAAAATTGAATATAAATGGGCAATAACTCCTTAAGGGGTCAATTGACAATTTTGGTCATGTTGACTTATTTGTAGATCTTACTTTGCTTAACATCATTGCTGTTTACAGAAAATTACCAATTTAGGGGGCAGCAACCCAACAACAGCTTGTCTGATTCGTCTGAAAATTTCAGGGCAGATAGATCTTAACCTGATGAAAATTTCCCCCCCCCCCCCCCGCGCCCCTGTCACATTTGCTCTAAATGCTTTAGTTTCAGAGATATAAGCCAAAAACTGCATTTAACCCCTATGTTCTATTTTTAGCCATGTCCGCCATCTTGGTTGGCAGGCAGGGTCATCGAACACATTTTTTAAACTAGAAACCCCAATGATTGTGGCCAAGTTTGGTTAAAATTGGCCCAGTAGTTTCAGAGGAGAAGATTTTTGTAAAAGTTAACAACAAACGACGGACGCAAGTGATTAGAAAAGCTCACTTGGCCCTTTGGGCCAAGTGAGCTAATAAAATTAACTTGTGCCAAAGATTTATCACACTGTCCTCATTTAATTTGATTCCACAAAATCTGACCTGTATTTTTCAATCCTGACATGAATCTTAAAAATATTCACTTAAATAACTGCTTTCCAGTCCTCCATAACTGTCTGACTACTTCATTGTATCGCATTGCACATGCATTTTCAGTAGTGAACCAGGTAAGAACATCAAGAAATAACTGATACAATATGTTGTTAAAAGGGAGAAGTTTATTGGCAAGACATCTGAAAAGAAGCGTTTAAGCGGCAAGCTGTTTTGTTCATAGAGATATCGAATTGCCAACAGGAAAAAGTCTTTGATATCTAATAAGAACTGATTTTCCTTGTCAACAAGTTTTTCAATGTTAATAATAAATACATCTTCTGTTTGACAACATTTTTCATTCGTGGTATCTGAAGTTGTTTTATTTATAGTCTGAGGCTGTGCTCAACTGGACTTTTATTACTTGTTTTAAGTTTTTTATTAGGATGACAGATGGTATCTTCAAAGTTCAGGACAACAGTAATTGTACATTTTTCTTTGTTTGGAATAATTATTTTTCCATTTGAATATTCATTTCCAGGTGTAATTGGGAACCGTATTGGATTGAATTTTTTGTCTGAATGTTTTTTTCTTTTAAGAAATAATATTTCTTTGTCTTTGTGGATATTTACAGCATGACCTATGATAGAATCAAATAGGTCAGTAGAATATTCGCAGTAGCCACATTTAAATTCGCCATAGCATCATCACTGAAAATAGAGTTACTCGGTATAACCATATGATCGAAAATAATGGACTTAGCAGGTTGTTAACACTGTCAACTATCGATAGGGTAAAACAACATTTTTTGACATAATTAGTACATTTAAGCGTTAATTTTGAAATTTTAGTGATACTTTGCCTATAACATTTAACCTGTCGTGAAATATAATTGTGATTTATGTTTCCGGTTTTCTTGACTTACATTGTGACTTGTTACCGTATTTATTTTATATGAGAAAACTATCGCAGTTATATTAGAAAAATATTGCATTCATATTATAAAATATAGCAGTATCATTGAATTATAGGTGATTTTGGTTTCGAAAACAATTGATTTCATCGAAATTGCATTCCACTAATTTGGTACATGATATCAATTGAATGTGTACATCTACAAATGATGAATAGTGCATTTATGTTTCATTTAATCAACATATCGATTTTCTCGTATTAATACAACTTGCTTGTTATAATATTACACAATTCATGAAAGTTATAAAGGCAGACGTTTGTCGTGTTAAATGTTACCCGGTTTTAAGAAGAATAGTCATTACTTTATACTGAGAAATCTTCCTTTCTTCATACAAATGTAAACATTCGTCTGTGATTTCCCACAATGCAACTCGTTCATATAAGACAATATTGCTATTTCATATAAGAAAAGTTTTTATCGATTCTCTTCTTCCATAGACTGATTCCAAAGTGCTTTTAAGCACAAAAGAACTTGTTTTACTTAAGGAATTTAACTTTGAATTAATGTATCCTTTCCCTTTTTCAAAACAATCTTATTCTGTACAAACCTGGCTCTATAACAAATCCTTTATCAGTCCACACAGCCAGACTTTGAGCATCTATTGTCAGTTTGACTGTAACATTGGTATGTCTTTGTATAAACACTCTATCTAAAGTTACCAATTGTAAATTAGGCATTGGTTCCTTTGTTGTCAACCAATGTAGATATACTTGCACTACCTGAAAATGTGAAATGTATTGAGCAGAGCACAGATAATAATCATACTCTCCCCAAATTTAAACAAAAGAGACCAAGTCATTGCTTTGATATTGGAAATCTCAAAAATCATTCAAATAAAACACTATAACAGGAGATGTCCATTGCTATTAAGGAGGAAAATTGTATAATATTCTTTTGAGAATATGTGTGCACTGCTTGCACTACCACATTTCCATGTTCAGTGAACGATGAAATTTGGGTCAAAACCCTAATTTGGTATATACTTTTTAAAAGTCACATCATAATAAACATATCTAATAATTTTCAAGTTGATAAGACCACAACTTTATGGTAAACTACACTAACAATTTTTACATGATACTGGACTGTGTATGCAAGCACTGCGCAGAAAATACAATCCCTCCCTTAAATGTTGTAGGATGGGTCTATAAAATCACTTAATTTAAGGTACTATAATATAGTTTTATATTTTTTGTGTTATTTCATTCTTTAAAATGGCATCAGCCAGAGGACATACTTTAAAACACATTCTTTAAAATACTATATCTTTACCTCATCTCCATCAAATAAACCCATATTGGTAACAGTCACTTGTACAGGAACTGGATCCCCAACTTTTACTGAAGCTGGTACCACTAAGTTGGAATAGTTGAATGTAGTATAGGTTAATCCAAAACCAAAAGGATACAGAGGTTCTCCAGTAAAATATCTGTAAGTCTTCTCCTTCATACTGTAATCAACCATTGAGGGTATCTGTAACAAACAGAATTTGACATGAATCTATTTTGTTGTTATTGGATAAAAAATTCTATATTCAATAATCTCAGGCATTTTTTGTCTAAAATTCGATTATTTAGAAGATAGAAGTAGAAATGCAACAGGTAAGTCTTTAATCTCACCTGATCAGCATACTTGTACCATGTGTAAGGTAGACGCCCACTTGGATTAACACTATTATTGACTGTTGTAAACAAAGTAAGTAGAGCTTCTCCGGTGGCTTGAGCTGGATAGAAACATTGGAATATGTTAACAACATTTTTGTTTTCCTCTGCCCATGTTATATTGACTGGTCCGGCAGTAAATAACAGTAATACTACAGATACATCACCACCTGGAAATAAAGTAAATATAAACTTTAGTGACCAAGCTCACCTACCCAATCCCCCTTCCCATAAAAAGAAGAAAAGCTAATAGTGACCTGATTTTTTCTGTTTACTTATCATGATTCATTTCTGTTATGATTTTACACAGTGATATATTGTCTTACACAATCTGTTTTTGGTTTTTGACATTGACCTTAGACCAAGTGACCTCAAAAGCAAAAGGGATTTCCTCTCATTATATGTGAGCACATATCAAAGTAAGGTTACAGTCCTATATGTAGTATTTGATTAAGCATCAAATATAAAAGACAAAGTGAAAAATATGAGATGAGACATCAATCTTAACAAAATGAATATGTGTCTTTTCCAAGTCAGGAATCCCTTCAGTGTTAATATACATACATGATAAATATGATGGATGATGAGGCTTACAAATACTTTGAATCTTACTGAAGAAATATAAGGATATATTTTTCAGCCAAATGTCACAAGTTTAGGTTTTACAAAGATATGCATTGTAAATTTTATCTTATCATTTCAGAAAATATAATTTGAAAACTTGAGAGGCAAGACTAGGAATCACATGGTTTATAATACTGTCAATACATACATATTATATTTTGCTGCTAGATGTTCTATAGACTGCATTTTATCAATTGTAATTCTGAGATTATTCAATGCCAAAATATTAATTTTATTCATGAACTTATTCAAGTTGAAATAATTTCAGCTCTTTATAATTCAGGCACACCTTACCATACTTAACAGCATCCTGTAACAATTGAAGCTGTTTCCCTGGTAACTCCATATCTCTTCTATCTTTTCCCTCTGATTCTATTTCTGTACCTGTAATATGAATAACAGAAGATGTAGGATATCTGTCAATGAGACAGCAACCCAACAAGATTCTATAAAATAACAAAGATACATCTAGAGGTCAACATATAATCTTCACCAATAGACAGGTGTAAGACAATTATCTTCACCAATAGACAGGTGTAAGACAACTAGATATCATTGAGATGGGAGCCATCTCTGTGGGCCCCGCTGTGAATAATGTGTGGTAAAACATTTGTATCTTTATCATTGGACATGGGGTTGTCAACTGAAACCGAAGTTTATGACCTTAACCTTTGACCTAGGAAGTTGTACATAAATTATGACACACCCTCTGGTGTTTGTTTATATACATGTCAAGTATAAACTTTGAAATCATAACGGTTCTCAAGATATAGAGCGGACACGATCTTAACCATAGAACATGGGGTTGTCAACTAAAACCAAAGTTTTTGACCTTGGCCTTTGACCTAGGAAGTTGTACATACATTATGACACTCCCTCTGGTGTTGGTTAATATACATGTCAAGTATAAACTTTGAAATCATAACGGTTCTCAAGATATAGAGCGGACACGATCTTTACCATAGAACATGGGGTTGTCAACTAAAACCAAAGTTTTTGACCTTGACCTTTGACCTAGGAAGTTGTACATACATTATGACACACCCTCTGGTGTTGGTTAATATACATGTCAAGTATAAACTTTGAAATCATAATGGTTCTCTAGATATGGAGCGGACACAATTTGTTACGGACGAACGGACGGACAGACTGATCCCTATAGGGCGTCCGCTATTCGTAGGGGCCCTAATTATCTTCACCAATAGACAGGTGTAAGACAATAATCTTCACCAATAGATAGGTGTAAGACAATTCAGTACATTTTGATACAAATGTCTGTTTTGATGTTGGACCTACCCTGCTATTTTTATTCAGGATTTCTTTATGCTATAATTTTTAAAGAAATGAACTAAAAACTGTAAAGTTTATTTAAAAATTGATGCGTCTTTTTATAATTTCATTGGGGTGTAAAAACATTGACCAAAGCACATTTTGTAGGAAACACAAAAGTGCTTCATTCTAAAAACATGCTCATGATCAATGCTTTAACAACCCTATAAAATCATAAAAAGAAGCATTCAATTTTTATAATCACATTTGTATGCTACAATTCATGATTCAATAGTTATATCAAATTTTTCTATGCATTGTTTTATCATTGTCATGAATAGCATGTGAAGTCCTAGCTGTTGAATTTTATACAGAAATAAAATTTGATATTGGAGTGCCTTCAGTTTGTTGTCAGCTGATCAAAATTACGTAATGAAACATACATGTAATGTAATTATTTTGTATTACAATTTAATTTATGTTCAGTAATTTTCTTTTTCTTTAATAAATGGTAAATAAACAGCTCTTTATCAAAATTATCTATTAAGTTTCTTTCACAAACAGTGTAGTAAAAATGATAATAAAAAAATTCTGAACACAGCATCTGCTTCAATAATCTATGAAATGGCATTAAAATCTATTTCATTTTTGTTTACCTGTCCCAAGACATACAAATACAATATATGAATCTTTAACAGCATTCTGTATATCTGATGGTGAATACTTGGTACATTTGTTACCATCCTTACAGCCTGCAGCATAGGAGGAATTTACTGCCACTTTACGGAGACTCGCCCAGGGTGTGGATACAAAACGTGGATCAGCATCTGGGGAATAATCTCCAAACAACTGTCCTGTGTTGTTAGCCATAGGTCCTACCACCTGAAAAGTTCACATTCTTATTTTCTTAACATGTGTATTGAGGTCTGTAAAAATTATTAAATATTGTCAAGTTTCCATTATTTTATCACTGTGTTAAAACATATCATTGAACATACATTTTCTCATTTAGACTGGCAGACTACCGTTATGCTTTGAACTAAATTTTGTATTCCAAATAAAGTACAGCATCCATATATGCACATAATGTATGATAAAATTTCTACAATGTTGGGAATATTTATATTAAAACAAATTAGAAGCTTGATTTAACTTGTAATTTCTTGTTTTAGCACCCAAAGGTTTTTTTTTTTTAAATTGAATGCTTCTTTTCTTGCAATTTCATAATTATAAATTAACTGTTTACAAAACTTTGAATTTTTGAAATACCAAGGCTTTTCTACCTCAGGAATAGATTACCTTAGCTGTATTTGGCAAAACTTTTAGGAATTTTTGGTCCTCAATGCTCTCCAACTTCGTACTTTATTTGGCCTTTTTAACTTTTTTTTATTCGAGCGTCACTGATGAGTCATTTGTAGACGAAATGCGCGTCTGGCGCAAATACAAAATTTCAATTCCAGTATCTATGATGAGTTTATTCATAGGATTGTATAAGTGATGACTAGATGTGTATTTAAAGGTAGGCATCATACAAAATGTGCTTTAGTCAAAATCTTTACAACCTAATTACACTACAAAAAGAAATATTCTATTCCTAAGTAAAGAAAAAGTATAGCCTTCCATATCAATTTGTGGTTTTCCTTCTAGGTATTTATCCTGCAAGAATAAAAAAAAAACTTACTGCAATTTTTGGTATTTGTTTAAATATTGGCAGCATAGTCTGTCCTCCCTTTAACATGACAATAGATTTAGTAGCAGCCTCTACAGCTAAATCTCTATGTTCTTTACTCTGTATAACAGACAGGTTTAACTGCATGTAAGGGTTTGTTGATGGGGGATCAAATTCTCCTAGCCTCATTCTGGTATTAAATAATGGCTTTACTCTTTCTCTCACAGTATCTTCGGTTAATTTCTTATGTTTAATAGCATCCACTAAAAGTAAAATGAGAAGAAAAACTTTTAAAGTTTTACCTCAAAATCTGTATGAAATTTGCACTAAATACCTATAATGTATTTTGTATTCATTCAACAAAAAGGTTATGTAAACCCTTTACTATAATATAAAAATGCCTTTTAATGGCTTAAAAAAACTTTGGAAATGACATTTTATTTGAAATATGAAAATTCAGCATGCTTAACAATAGAAGTTATAATTTCAAAAAGGGGAATTTCAAGATTGGGTTTAGTTATATAGCATGATTAAGCATATTTGCTAGAGATGTTTTATTTTTTTAAAGATGAATCACCTTTGATCAATGAATATTGCATAAATGTTATTCAATTATACATATCACTTACACATATATAGATACACAGGTTTATAAGAGTTCCCTGACAATTATACATATCACTTACACATATATAGATACACAGGTTTATAAGAGTTCCCTGACAATTCTAAATTACACCCAGCATTCACACATCCCGCCACTGTATCAATAGGGTCCAGATAATACTGGTGCCAAAACATTATGTTTTCTATGGCTACCTCATCACTGACAACATATCCAGTAAAATTCCATTCATCTCGTAAAATACTTGTTAGTAATTTACTGTTTGCACATGCTGGCACCCCATTTATACTGCAAAATATATAAAGCATCTTTAATCTCTAAAAACCATTTCTCTAATTCTTTGGCCATTTAACAATTTCTGGACCCATTGTATAAAAAAATTTAATCAATGTGTGGTTGCCGTTGATCTCAGAAGATGATTGGCTGAGTTTGAGGGTTATAACCTTTATCAGCTCACTGGATGAATCTAAATGTTCTAACAGGTGTTAGAGAAATTGACAACTTTGTGGAATGTGGAAGACGTTTGAAGGGGATTTTCATTCATCAAAAATGAAAATTTATTTAATAATCATTAGAGAAACAGATTCTTACATAGTTACTCGTGCATTATCGGATTTATCCAATCTCGATAGTTAAATTATCAATTTTAAAGTCTGAGCCTTCTTGATTGGATAAATCCTATAATTCACTGGTACCAATGTAAGAATCTTTATGTAACATATACAAAATAGATAATCAAATTTGGATGGGATCAACATTATTTAAGAAAAACTTCCATAAAAACTTTTTCAGATTTTATTGATTAATTTTGCCATAAATACAGTTGTTGTTTCAAAAAAATTACTGCTGAAAAAATCTGACTTTCTGTAGAAAATGTGGGAAAGGTGAAAGAAACAAACATGAAGGCTGTACGAATGCCGAATGCCGTTACATTGTTGTAATTGATTACTTCCATTTCATTTGAACTTTGTTGGATAGTTGTCTCATTAGCAATCACACTACATCTCTTTATTTTTGTACAATCATTAAGTTAGAGAACTACCTGTTATAACTACACATCAGACTGTAGGATCCAGCCTCTACACACTTTTTGAATGCTGGTAGAAATGTTAGTCTCCAATCTCTTTCTGATACCTAAATGTAATACTGTATATATCTACTTATCTTAGACTGTAACAAATACTACTACATAAAACATAAGTACACATAAGAAAGTTATAAAACCTGGCAGAAATTTTAGTCACACATATTTCTCTATGTTACAGTTCATTGAATTGGGATATATTTTGGCATTTAAGTACTATACAGTTGATTTATTCAATTAAAATTGACACAAAAAAAATAGCTCTGCAATGTCTATAAACCTTAATTTTCTAGAAATGTTAGAACCTTGACAGCTGATTTTGCTCTAATGGCGGCCAAATCAAAACTATGTTGAATGAAGACTGGATGAAAGACTACAGCTTTAAAGTATGAAAGTGCTGAAATACTGTAATAGATGGATATATAAAGAAAAAATAATGGCATTACTTCATGTTAGGAGGTACTAAAGCATCTACTGTGTTCAAGGATTTCTGGAAAAATAACTGTACTATAGAAGTATTCTAGAATATTTTTATGTTTGTTTTAAAAAAAAAGGATTTGGTTAAAAAAAATGTAACTATGATTTTTTTGTCCAGTTAAGTAGAAACATTTATAGTCATGTCACCACACAATTGCGAGTTGATGTTTCAAAATTTTGAACATTTGTAGATCATTTGAAAACTACACGTAATCTCCATATTTAAATGTAGCTACATAACAACAGTATATATACTTTTATAAATTCTGTTTCTGCGCCACAGAATTATTCAGTCAGAAAAACTTACCACAGCATTAAAACCAAATCTAGAAGATGGAATATCTTCTGGTCCCCCATGGACATCAAAGTGTTTACACCCAGCATTAGCTCTGATATATTTTGGATGATCTCCCTGTAGACCCTTCACAAAACTGGTGGCATACAGTCCACTAAGGTGGGGATCCTCTCCGTAAGTTTCCTAATATACAAAACAAAAATATCATAAGCATCTTAATGATTTAGTCCATATGATATAAGCCTAATAATTTTTATATTTATAAGGTGCACTCTGCTCATGCTTTCAAATATGTTTTATGGTAGTTAACCTTGTCTTATTCTTGAGGTAAACAAAATAATAAAAAGTAGCATGTGTTAATACATTACAACAGCAAACTTGTTGGTTTGCAGATTTTTGTTGTTGTTTATTTCTACTTTTCCCACATTTATGTAATCTGACAGCTGTTTGAAATCTGATGCATCTGACAACTATATATATACACAGTTTTGCAAGTTTGTGATTTAACTATGACAGACATTAATTTTGCAGAAATTTAAAAATATGGATAGTTTAAGCATGTATGAATAGATGATGTCAGACTCTTGCTACATCTTTTTTTTTTTTACCTACCTGTAACATCTATGTTATGTATGCACCTATGTGGTAATATTGTATTTATATTGTGTCATAGGTCAAACTTATTCGTTCAGTGCATGTTTACTTGTTTTTGTTTAAATGTCTTTTTGATCGAGTTAAGCCATTTCAATTGATATTTTATAGTGTGTCTTTTTATGTTGTAATGTTACACTGCTGTCCCAGGTTAGGGTGAAGGTTGGTACCTGTTAAAACGTTTTAACCCGCTACAATTTTATGCACCTGTCCTAAGTCAGGAGCCTGTTGTTCAGTGGTTGTCGTTTGTTGGTGTGGTTCATAGGTGTTTTATTTCTTGTTTTTTATATAGATTAGACCGTTGGTTTTCCTATTACACTAATCATTTTGGGGCCCTTTATAGCTTGCTGTTCGGTGTGAGCCAAGGCTCTGTGTTGAAGGCCATACTTTGACCTATAATTGTCAACTTTTTATACATTGTGACTTGGATGGAGAGTTGTCTTATTGGCACTCATACCAAATCTTTTTATATATATAAACCATTTTAGCCAATGCACTTCTGAACATGATTAAAACATAAAGCTTAAATTCATTTACCAATCACCTAATGAGATTCAAACTGTAAGAAGGCAAGTACATTGTTCATGTAAATATTCATATAAAAAAAAATGAAACTACAATCTTCAATCAATATAAATAGTAAAAAAAACCTATAAATTGAAATATACACAGAGTGAGACATATGTTTTTACCAAGACTTTCATCTATTAAATATACAGAACACTTTTAATAATGTCTTTTTTCTGTTTTCATTGTGTTCTTGTTTTGCTATGTTTTTTAAATATTTATATACTTCTCAGCTTTTATTTTCATCCTTAAACATGTTAAACAAGTACATGAAGTAGCAGTACAGTTACTGTTAAAAACATCATTCTTGTTTCATTACCTGGTTTCTTCCCCACAATGGATTCCTCATAATGTTAATAACAGGACTGAAGCAGCTGAGTCCAGTGTGATCATAGTAATAACCATGTCGTATGTCATTATTGTGTTTGGCTCTTACTTCCTTGGCTGTGGCCTCTGCCACACGGAATATCAAATCTGGACTAAAAAATGAAAGGTTAAATGTATTTTTCTAATTTGCATTACACATTTGTTAACTCTTTTCAGATCAAAATAATGCAATAATTTGTAAAATATTGTTATTTTAAAAATAGGATATTTCCCCATACAAAATGTGGGCATATCAGGGGCGGATCCAGCCATTTATAAAAGGGGGGGTTCCTAACCCAGGATAAAGGGGGGGTTCCAACTATATGTCCCCATTCAAATGCATTGATCGTCAAAAAAAAGGGGGGGTTCCAACCCCCGGAACCCCCCCCCCCCCCTGGATCCACCGCTGCATATAAATAAAACAGCATACACCACAAATTCTTATTTGAAATAAAACTGCCATTTGCATCAACAATTAGTTGCAGAATCATAGGTTCCTTGTGTTATCAACTACAATTCCTCAACTATTTGATATTATTATACCTCAGTATGTTTTTTCTATATAAAAAAGAATGAAAAATTCATGCTATTTCATTCCACAGACTATTTGCCAGTCAATAGTTTAATAAACATATTTCCCGTACTTTTTCATACTAATTTTTCATTGGACAACAATAACGTCATCGACTAGTCTGCTTTGATTTGTGCGTTTGGCAAACTTAAACTCTGAAATACCATAAACGGTATGATCTGTATGTGTCTGTCATTGTAATTTCAAATTAATATACTACTTACCGAAGTAATTAAAAAAGAAAAAGAAAATATCTGCGACATATTTTAACACAACTGTATGTTATGGGTCTGTCGTCACGGCATCTTCATAATTTGGGATTGCTTTGGTGTACGGTAGCTAGCGTTTATTATATGCACGGGAATTTTTACACAAGGATTTCTGTTCTTGATTACAGTAATCAAAATATTGACAAATACCACATGGGCAAAAACAACCCTGATAATTCATCTTGTGCATGTTTATGTGACTATTTTTTTCCTATTGGTGTATGCAGATCAAATTTTTAGAAAGTTGTTTTGTTCGGTATAATAAAACACTTAATGACTGGTTATGAGTGTAATAGCAAGTTTGTAGTCCATTTGATACTAACTATTGCCCTTGGCTTCGCCAAGAGCAAAAGTTGGTATCTTAGGGACAACAAACTTGCTATTAAACCTCATAACCAGTCAATAGGTGTATAATATTATCTTTTTCTTTTAAATTCTCCTTCAAATGAAATGATCAAAAGTCATATCATTCAACAGATGTTCAAACATGTCAAAAGAAGAAATAAAATCTGGACAAGTACCTAAAAGTTGCAGCTAAACCAATAGCTTCAGGAAACGCTGTGGCATTTCCTGCCATTACATCTCCCCTCAAGCATTCTGTATTCCACTGGTAAGGTCCTATGCCAAGTCTGTAAACTGCAGGGGCTGGACCCCCATGTATTCCGGCTCCTCCCCTAGCCATCTGATACATAATTTCTTCTATTGTCAGTCTACTAACTAAGTCGTCTACTCTTTCCTTCCATGATATCGATGTATTTCTAAATGGATAATCAGCTGTTATGCTATTAAACAAAAGAAATCCAAGCAGAAAGTAAACAACATCCATTCCGGTCTTATGACCAAATGAGATGGAAAACTCTAGAGAGATACCAAAATATGGCGGGATTCGGAGTTCACTCCCCTATTTAAAAAATTGAACTGACAACTTCTAATTTTAAGTAAAAACTGTTTTCATTAAAATTTTCTTACAGTTTCTTCAAATGATAAATCTTTATTAATAAGTAATTAGAAAAATCTGAGAAATACTTTCAGTTATCAATTCTCATTTGAGTTGGACACCTTGAAGGCTTATTGTAGACTAAATGATTGTCTATATTATGAGTCTAGCCCTTTTCAATGGATTTTAATAGTTTGCTTATATGTGTGCTGTTGCAATACTGCCCAAGTTTAGGAGGAGGGTTTGACGCCTTCAAACATGCTTAACCACAACACATTCTGTATGTGCCTGTCCCAGTCAAGACGCCTGTAATTCAGTGGTTGTTTGTTGTTATATACATAAATCAGGCTGTTGGTATTCTCGTTTGCATTTGCTTTATTTTTGCCATTTCTGAGCTTTCTATTGCTCGCTTAATAATGCAGTATGGGTTTTGCCAAACAGAGACCTATAGTTGCTAACATCTACGTCATTTGGTCTCTGGTGAAATTATATAGTTGTCTCATTGCCAATCATACCATATCATCCTTATGTTATATATTTGTTGGCTGAGTGGTCAAGGAAGGTATCAACATCTAATGTACTTATGCAGATCACTTTGGCCAATATACAACCTCAATTCACAGACATTTTTTTTATCTTCTCTATATAGCTTCAATAATATAACACAAGGTACTCAACTTTCATTTTTGTGAAATGACACTTAGTCAGGACTATTCAGTATTTTTCTTCTCCAAGGTCCTCTATCCTTGATAATGTTTGATCGCACTATTTATACAAGTTCACAAAAGTGAATATTGATCCCACCTCTTGCTATAGAAAAGGTGTAAAACTGTAATCATAATTATGGGCTTTTGCGTGCATTCATGCAGCTAGCTTCCTTGTCTTGGTCTTTTTCAAAATCATTGGTCATATCCATGCATTAAATCATGCTTAATGCTTTTTAAATATTGATGTTAGACAAACATTAACTTGGCGTCTTCATAGCAGTTCTGTCCTCTTTCTGTTAACATCGGCATATCATTCAATTTATTACTGTATAAATAATCATCCAGCATATTTACTTGCATGGGTTTGTTAAGCTTGATGAACTGCCCATTATCATATGGATACTGTATTATATCAAAGATATTTTCTAACAATATATTATTCAAGTGATAACAACAGAGATAAGCAGCATTGTGACAAGGAAGATAACCACCACATTGTGACAAGGGAGATAACCACCACATTGTGACAAGGAAGATAACCACCACATTGTGACAAGGGAGATAACCACCACATTGTGACAAGGGAGATAACCACCACATTGTGACAAGGAAGATAACCACCACATTGTGACAAGGGAGATAACCACCACATTGTGACAAGGAAGATAACTACCACATTGTTACAAGGAAGATAACCACCACATTGTGACAAGGAAGATAACCACCACATTGTGACAAGGGAGATAGCCACCAGTAAGCAACAATAAATCAATAAATTTTAGGATTTTTTGTTTTGCAGTCTTTCTAAAACATCTTTATATCCATCCCTTTTATGTATATAAGCCATGCTTAAAAACTGAGCATTGTTGCATTATAATTCACAATGCATTGCATTTTAAAGTTTTATTGTTTTGTATAATGCTCAATATACCACAGTTTGGGTCTTTTAGAAAATCTCCAACTTGAATTTGGCTTCACAACCTGAAACCAATATTTAGGACAAGAAGAATGTGTGCACTGACATGCTTAGCACACTTCAACTCATAATTTAAAGTATCAGAAAACAAGAAGTATGTCTCTGACGGAACGTTAGAGTGTACAACTCATCACTCTCTAACTAATGACCTAACATGAAGTCTGACTCTCTAACTAATGACCTAATATGAAGTCTGACTCTCTAACTAATGACCTAATATGAAGTCTGACTCTCTAACTAATGACCTAATATGAAGTCATTCTCAATGTAGTATTGAGGAATTATATGACTAAAAGAAAGTATCAGCAAACAGGAAGTAGATGTGATTAAAATATTTGTTGGATGAATGAACGTACAGAAAAACAGACAAGGTGATTGCAATATAGTAATCACAAACAATAATACTACATGCCTCCCCTGTTATTGCAAGTAATTCTAGGATACTTATACTAATGTATAACTAGAGGCTCTAAAGAGCCTGTGTCGCTCACCTTGGTCTATGTGCATATTAAACAAAGGACACAGATGGATTCATGACAAAATTGTGTTTTGGTGATGGTGATGTGTTTGTAGATCTTACTTTACTGAACATTCTTGCTGCTTACAATTATCTCTATCTATAATGAACTTAGCCCAGTAGTTACAGTGGAAAATATTTTGTAAAAATTTACAAAAATTTACAAAATTTATGAAAATTGTAAAAAATTGACTATAAAGGGCAATTACTCCTTAAGGGGTCAATTGACAATTTTGGTCATGTTGACTTATTTGTAGATCTTACTTTGCTGTACATTATTGCTGTTTACAGTTTATCTCTATCTATAATAATATTCAAGATAATAACCAAAAGCTGCAAAATTTTCTTAAAATTACCAATTCAGGGGCAGCAACCCAACAACGTGTTGCCTGATTGGTCTGAAAATTTCAGGGCAGATAGATCTTGACCTAATGAACAATTTTATCCCTGTCAGATTTGCTCTAAATGCTTTGGTTTCAGAGATATGAGCCAAAAACTGCATTTTACCCTATGTACTATTTTTAGCCATGTCGGCCATCTTGGTTCCCGGCGGGATCATCAGACACATTTTTTAAACAACATACCCTAATGATGATTGTGGACAAGTTTGGTTAAAATTGTCTTAGCAGTTTCAGAGAAGAAGATTTTTGTAAAAGATTACAAATATTTACGAAAAATGGTTAAAAATTGACTATAAAGGGCAATAACTCCTTAAGGGGTCAACTGACCATTTTGGTCAAGTTGACTTATTTGTAGATCTTACTTTGCTGAACATTATTGCTGTTTACAGTTTATCTCTATCTATAATAATATTCAAGATAATAACCAAAAACGGAAAAATTTCCTTAAAATTACCAAATCAGGGGCAGCAACCCAACAACAGATTGTCAGATTCATCTGAAAATTTCATGGCAGATAGATCTTGACCTGATAAACAATTTTACCCCACGTCAGATTTGCTCTCAATGCTTTGGTTTCAGAGATATAAGCCAAAATCTACATTTTACCCCTATGTTCTATTTTTAGCCATGGCGGCCATCTTGGTTGGTTGGCCAGGTCACTGGACACATTTTTTAAACTAGATACCCCAATGATGATTGTGGCCAAGTTTGGTCAAATTTGGCCCAGTAGTTTCAGAGGAGAAGATTTTTGTAAAAGTTTACGGACGACGGACGCCAAGTGATGAGAAAAGCACACTTGGCCCTTTAGGCCAGGTGAGCTAAAAATGAAAGTATTACATACATTTCTTGTGATGTGACAAGAGGCATAAACACAACTAAAAGATACCACAAAACTCTTTGTATAATTGTGACAAGGGAGATAATTTAAAACACAGCATATTCCCTTTCTTTGCATTTTTCATTTTTTGGACATAACTGCAATATTTTGTAAATACAGGAATGTATTGGTTTCCAATTCAAGATAAAATACTGCTAAATTATGCCTATGCTATGTCATATTTTGTTGTTGATGAAATGGTTGCAGTAATGTTATAAAATGTATGATATGTCTTCCCGATGCATAAGGGGGAAAAATTTTCCCCTGCTTCAGAGACTGCGGCTCCCTATACGACTTCTGTGTGCATAACATGTGTTTCTGGAATAACCGTCACATCAAATGGATGTGTAGTAATCAGGAATAATAAACAAAGCAATAGTTTATATATTTAATGTCTGTTAACTTAGACACCAGCAAAAACAAAAATCTGAATTCAAAATATAACATTATATTTAACATTTATAAAATTTAAGGTCATACGCAACAGTTTTCCTATATGGTACATATGTGTTTTTTTTTCATAGTTTAAAAAGATAAAAATAAAACCAATTCACTGAATCCTTATCCTTTAGTGATTAAACATAATTCCTTCCTAAATGAAACTGATAGTTATATCTGTTCTCCCATTTTCAAAGTATAAATTGACACTAAATATACACATAATTTTTTGAAATACTTTAATATATTTGTATAAGGTAAAAGTACCTATTTGGAACTGTAAATTTATAGGAAATTAGAATAGTGCACTTTTTTTTATAGTTTGTATAAAAAAATCTAGAAAAAAGTTAAGCGAAGTATTTACATGCAAGAATGTGTTTGGCCATTTAAAAATAGTGTTGACAATGTTTTAAACTATGATTTCCTCATATTGTACTTACTACTGTTATACAAACAAAATTTGAAATATATAACAATTGTCATTTGGCTGATATTACAGTAGGGGCAGCCGTCGCACAATAGTATATTATCCTAATGCAAGTATAAATTTTTTTTATCAATGAACAAATGAATAAATGGGATAAATAAATACCCTGCCACGTCAAGTCTGAGTTTATGTTTGATGTTTTTCTGCTTTGTATTGATCTGATGAGTTAAGCCTTTTTCAACTGATTTTTATAGTTTGTTTTTATGTTGTGCTGTTACACCAGTGTCCCAGATTAGGAGGAGGGTTGAAAGCTCACAAACATGTTTAACCCAGCCACATTCTTTATGTGCCTGTCCCAAGTCAGGAGCATGTAGTTCAGTGGTTGTCGTTGGTTTATGTCTGTCATATTTGTTTTTCGTTAATTGTTTTTGTTATAAATTAGGCCGTTAGTGTTCTCAATTGAACTGTTTCATATTTTTCATGTCAGAGCCTTTTATAGCCGACTATACAGTATGGGTTTTTCTCATTGTTGAAGGCCATACGGTTGCCTA